TGGGCACCCTGGCGAGACAGCACGTCGGTGTCTGGGTTGAGCCTTCTGGTGACACCGCAGTCTGCGTCGACGGTGACACGTACGCCCCCTTGGCCACTTTCCGCCAGGAGCCGGGCTCTGGTCTGTACACCCTCCGCACCGACCCCCGTCAGGTTCCCCCGTCCCACCAGGTAGCCGGGTCCAGTCAGGTTGCTGTGTCAGGTGTAGTTGCTGCGTCGTGCTCGTGTCGGTCGCTTGCCCACCCCACCGTTCTGTGGCACCACCGGATGGGGCACCCGTCCCTTCCTCGTCTGCGCGCCATGTCCAGTCAGCGTCTTGTCTTAGGCCTCCCCCGAGTCCTCCCACCACTCCCGCCGTCCCCAGCTCCTCCGTGCGGTCCTTGTGTCCAGGGTCGGCTTCGCGCCACCCCTCACTCCTCCTCCCTTCGTCCGGCCACCGAGCCCTTCCAGACACTCCACTTAGACGTCTGGGGCCCCGCCTCCCGCCTTGGCCCTGAGCGGGAGAGTTTCTTTTTGGTGGTCGTTGACGATTACTCTCGGTACACCACCGTGTTCCCCTTGGCGAAGAAGTCCGACGTGACTTCTACGCTGATCCGGTGGCTCCTCGCCACCGAGGGCACTCGTGGTCGTCGTGTCAGTTGTCTCCACTCCGACCGTGGGGGTGAGTTTCGCTCCGGCATTCTCGCCAGATTCTGTGCTGAGCAGGGCATCACCCAGTCCTGGACTCTTCCAGACTCTCCACAGCAGAATGGGGTTGCTGAGCGCCGCTTAGGCCTGGTCATGGAGATCGCCCGCACCTCCATGATCCACGCCCGCGCGCCCCATTTTCTGTGGCCCTACGCGGCTCGGTACGCCGCTCACCAGCTGAACCTCTGGCCTCGCGTCTCTCGGCCAGGGGCTTCACCGACCAGTCTTTGGACAGGGTCTCCTGGTGTTGCGTCGAGGTTTAGTGTCTGGGGCTGCTTGGCTCTTGTCCGCGACACCTCTGCGGACAAGATCTCGCCTCGCGCCGTCCCCTGTGTCTTCCTTGGTTTCCCAGAGGGCTCCTCTGACTTCACCTTTTACCACCCACCCTCCCACCGGTTCTTTGACTCTCGTGACGTCCGTTTCGACGAGTCCGTCCCCTACTACGTCAGGTACCCCTCTCGAGGTCTCCCGGTTCCCCCCCCTCCCCTCTTCCTGGCTCCAGCTCCTCCTCCTCCCGACCCTACTCCTCCGGTACCCCCCCCTGTTCCCGCTCCGTCTGGTGTGTCCCACGCTACTCCCCCTCCCTCGGTACCCCCCCAGGTCTCTCCTCCTTCCCCACAGTCGTCCTCACCGCCTCCGCAGCAGCCGTCGCCGCTTCCTTCACCGAGGGTGTTGGTGCTCGAGGAGAGGGCTCTGGCGGTGCTCGCTCTGGGGGTGCTGGCGTTGGAGCTGTTCGTGCACCTACAGGAGCAGCCAGTTCTGGGGGTGTTGGCGTTGGCGCTGAGCGTGCACCTGCCGCAGCTGCCCGTTCCGAGGGTACTGGAGCTGGTGGTGGTGCTGGAGCTGGTGGTGTTTCTGGAGCTGGAGAGTCTGGGGCTGGTGCTGGCGCTACTGGGGGCACCACGGCTGGGGGTGCGGGTACACCTCCCACAGGTGTTGGTCGTGCTGCCGCGAGGGGTCCTCGCTCTGGGGGTGCTCAGCCGGGTTCTGTCGAGGGCGGAGCAGGTTCTTCTTCGTCGTCTCCTGACACCACTCCTCCTCCTCACCCTTACCCGACTCGACACCAGGCCCGTCTTCGTCTTGAGCGTGAGGAGCAGCAGCGTTTGGAGCGTGAGAGGTTGGAGGTTCAGCAGCGGGTGGAGCGTGAGAGGTTGGAGTTGCAGCGAGAGCAGCAGCAGCAGCAGCAGCAGCAGCAGCAGCAGCAGCAGCAGCAGCAGCAGCAGCAGCAGCAGCAGCAGCAGCAGCAGCAGCAGCAGCAGCAGCAGCAGCAGCCGCAGCAGCCGCCGCCGCCGCCGCAGCAGCAGCAGCCGCAGCACCCAGAGCAGCCTCCGGCACCTGTTTCTGGCCTTCGGGCCCTTGGTCTCCCCTCCTCTCCTCCTGTGTTCGGTCCTACGTTTCCTCCTCCGGACTCCACTCCGGCTGTCTTCCCTCGTTCTCGGTCTCCTCCGTCCCCCCCTCCTCTCGCCCACACTTGGGCCTCTCGTCCTCCTCGTGCTCGTCCCTCGTCCCCTGTCACTGACCTCCGTACCGTGTTGTTTCGTCCTAGTCCTCCTCGTTCTCCTCCGTCTGTCCTTCCTCGTCCTCCTGAGTCGTCCCTCACTGCCTCCCTGTCCACTCCGGTCACTGACTACTACCGCGCGTACCGCCCCACTCTCTCTCGTGTTCTCGCCTCTCTTGTTACAGACCCTCGTGCCTCTCCTTCCTCCGTCGCGGTCCTCACTGCCGCTGTCACTGACTTTACTGCTACGCGTCGCCTTGACTACGCCACTCGTGTTGTGGCCGCTCCTCCTGTCCGTCCTCTGTCCGCCGGGGGTGAGTCTGCCCTTGGCTGTGACGTCCTAGAGGACAGACAGTTTGAGCTAGAGTTCCTGGCAGCTGCTTCACCTCATCTCTGTGCCATGCTGCTCACTCCTGAGGGAGACCCCGATGCTCCTGACATACCTACTCCTCGCACTTACGCTGAGGTAGTGTCAGGGCCTTGGGCCTCTCAGTGGAGAGCTGCCATGGACGCAGAGATGGCTTCCTACAGGTCCAACGCACTTACGTTGACGAGGTTCCCCCCCCAGGGGCGAACATCGTTGACGGCATGTGGATCTTCAAGGTGAAGCGGCCGCCGGGATCTCCCCCAGTCTTCAAGGCACGCTACGTGGCTAGAGGGTTCAGTCAGCGTGAGGGAGTTGACTTCTTTCAGACATTCGGGCCCACCCCGAAGATGACCACTCTTCGGGTGTTACTACACGTAGCAGCGCAGAGAGACTACGAGCTTCACTCTCTTGACTTCTCCACTGCCTTCCTCCAGGGCCGCCTACACGAGGAGATCTGGCTGCGTCGTCCTCCGGGCTTCACTGGCACTTTCCCGCCTGGGACCCAGTGGAGCCTCAGACGACCGGTCTACGGTCTCCGCCAGGCACCCCGTGAGTGGCACGACACTCTCCGCTCTACTCTCTCCGACCTCGGGTTTGAGCCGTCTTCCGCCGACCCGTCGCTGTTTGTTCGTCGTGGGCGCACACCTTTCTTCGTTCTGGTCTACGTTGACGACTTGGTTTTTGCCACAGCCGACACAGCTGCACTGGCGGAGGTGAAGTCCGAACTGCAGAAGAGACACACCTGCACTGACCTTGGGGAACTGCGCCGCTACCTTGGCCTGCAGATCTCCAGGGACAGAGCCGCTCGCACCATCACTCTGACTCAGTCACACATGGTGCAGCAGGTCCTTCAGCGGTTCGGGCTTCAGGACTCTTCTCCTGCCCCCACTCCTCTTGCTGTAGACCACAGACTCACTGGGCCTTTTCCTGACGAGCCGTTTGAGCCCAGTGGTCCCTACGCAGAGCTGGTGGGCTGCCTCATGTACCTGATGACGTGCACTCGCCCGGACCTCGCCTTCCCTCTTAGCATCCTGTCTCGCTTTGTTGCGACTGGGAGACACCGTCCTACGGCTAAGAGGGTGGCGAAGTACCTTGGCGCGACATCAGGCATGGGGCTTGTACTTGGAGGGACACAGCCAGTTGTACTCACCGGTCACTGCGACTCCTCCTACGCCGACGACGTTGAGACTCAGAGGTCTACGCAGGGTTACTGTTTCAGCCTGGGTTCTGGAGCTGTTTCGTGGAGGTCTACTCGGTCCTCCTCGGTTGCGACTTCTACCGCAGAGGCCGAGATCTACGCTGGGGCCCTTGCTGCTCAGGAGCTACGCTGGTTGACCTTTCTGCTCACTGACCTTGGTGAGCGGCCGAGCTCTGCACCGACCCTGTTTGCTGACAACAGGGCGATGATTCTCCTGTGTCGTGAGCCTCGACTGGAGAGCAGAGTGAAGCACATCGACGTCAGGTACTTCCTCCTTCGAGAGTTGCAGAGACGCGGGCAGGCTCGTCTGGACTTCGTGGCCTCCGAGGCCAACACTGCAGACATCTTCACCAAGGCTCTTCAGCCTTGTGACCACCGCCGGTTCTGTCTGCAGTTGGGCCTCGTTGAGACTGGGTCGAGAAGACTTCAGTAGTGAGTGCTTGTCTCTTGTCTTTGCTTGTACTGCATATAATTGCATATACACTCTTGAACTGGCCTTGTGGCCGCTGTTTGCGCTCAGACTGTGTGGTGACGTTGTGATCCACCCTGAGCTTGTTTTGTCTTTTGTTTGTGACTGGTCTTGTGACCTTAGGTTGCGTTTCTTGTTGCTTGGCATTCCCCACTTAGGCTATGGGGGTGTGTCAAATGTTATAGCCTATTGTGGGTCATGCTATATGGGGTACAAACAGTTAGGGTTAGGCATATGTACCCCAACCCAATCTTTGCTACTCATTCTGCTGTATTCTGTTATACTGAGACTTTCATAAGTTGACTCTAACTGTACCGTATTCACGGAAACTTGAATACTGGAGAAATTGTGGAATGATTATTTCTAAATGTTTGTTGGAGGATAAATATTCTAATCTCGCAAGTGAAGAGTTGACATCACATGCAGCTTTGATGTTTGTTTCCCTTCAGGTGAATAGACATTTGTATTTATAGGAGGCATGCAACAAGCACAATGTTGCGTGTAATAGGCGAAGCTATCCAGGTTGCATCAAGGATACCGACTATCGGGAATGTTCTCGAGGTCCATCAAAATCTTCTTCCGTAAAAAGCCCAAGGCGCGACGTGCAAATCTAGATTGTGGATCCTAGGGTTTCTCTCGAGCCAGGGTAGCCAGGTCTACCCCTGCTGGAGGTATTTCGGGTCAACCAAGTTAGCACGCTATCATCTTCTTTTTTTCGTTAGGCACGACCTTACGCCGCCCTTGAAACCCGCGTTTCCGAGTCTGAAGGAAGTCTATGCGCCATGCAGAGGCGTTCCGCTTCACAGGTACGAACGGTCTCGGTCAAAATAATCAACCTGTGATTAGCATCGTCAGGTTTTGTGTCCAATGCAGATATATACAGATATCAATTGTCACCTCATCACAGATTTCAACGGACTTAGTGGAGGTAGATTGAGTCTACCACCTGCGTCGACGCTTAATGCATTACGTTAAGGACTTGTCGCTGGTATCAACGCGTATCACCTATATTTTTTGCCTCTTCGTTCTCGTTGTCATCGCGTGAAATTATGTCACTGTTCTTGATTTATTCCCCAACCCGGTTCATCGGCCGGCCAGGATGATCGTCATTTCTCCTTTCGTTGTCTACCCCTTTTTTAACCAGGATTACAACAACCACGCTGATCGGGACCGGTGGGGTCGCTAGCCGGAGCGGGACCGGGATTGGGACTGGGACAGAGAGCGAGTTTACTTTTGGGTCGACTTAAAAGTCAACTGGGCGAAAACGATCGTCATTTTTTCTTCTCGTTGTCCCCCCCTTTTACTCGCCAGGATGACAATCACGCCGATCGGGACCGGTGGGATCGAGAGCGGGACCGGGACCGGGACCGGGATTGGGACTGGGACAGGGAACGCGATCGGGACCGAGACAGGGAGCATAGGGATAGGGATAGGGATAGGGATAGGGTGAGAGAAAGGGATCGAGACAAGGATTGGGAAGGGGATAAGGAGAGGGATCGTGGTGAGAGGGAGCGAGATCGAGACTTGAGGGAGAGAGATTCCGACCGAGAGAGGGAGAGGGAGAGGGAGACTAGCCGGGAGAGGGAGAGGGAGCGGGAAAGGGACAGAGATAATGACAGGGACAGGAACAGGGGCAAAGACAGGGAGAAGGATGGGGAGAGAGACGTTGGTGGGGTAGAGAAGAGCGAAAACACGGATTTGGGCCAAGAAGGGGATAAGCAACAGCAGTTGCCACTTGACCAGTTCTTACAGCAGCAGCAGCAGCAGCAGCAACGGCTGGAACGCGAGAGAGAGGTTGAGTCGGAGCGGCAGCAGCGGATGAAAACGGAAGGAGGTGTAGGGGGAGGGGGAAGAGGAGGGGGTGGAGGCGCGGTAGGAGGGGAGGGAAGGGGAGGAGGAGGAGGGGGAGCGGGAGAAGCAGGGAAGAGCAAGGGACCTCGAGAAGCTAGGCAGCTGTGGGTGGGTAACGTGACCCAAGATGTTAGCGAGCGTGAGCTGTCAGACGCGTTTGGCCGCTTCGGCCAGGTGGAAGGCCTCGCGATCCTCTACCAGAGGGAGTTTGCTTACGTGGACATGGCCACGTCAGCACAGGCCAGCGAGGCGAGGCGGGTGCTGGCAGGGAAGCCTCTGCGCCCGGGCCTGCTGCCGCTGAAAGTGGAGTTTGCATATGCCAAGGGGTCAGCGGCGGGCGGAGGTGCGGCACAGGTAACCCACTTCTCTTTTGTTCATTATGTTGTTAAGATTCTCAGTAGCCGCTGCGTCCGGGCCTGCTGCCGCTGAAAGTGGAGTTTGCATATGCCAAGGGGTCCACAGGCGGAGCAGCGGCACAGGTAACCCTTTATGTTGTGTTTCTGTTTTGTTTCTTGCCCTTATAAAGGGCAACCCTTTCCGTGCGAAGGTATCTATGTTCGTTTTCTTCTCTCCCTGCTTTCTCCTCTACATCCGCCACCAGCTAGTCAGCCGAAAGAGAAGGAGAGGCCACGGGGGGCGGGCGTGCGAAGGGTGGTGTGGGTGGGGTGGGGGCCAGCACACGTCGTTCCGGAAGAGATCGACGCGGAGTTCCGGCGGTTCGGGCCCATCGAGGACCTGCGCTTCCACCCCGACCGCGCCTGCGCGTTCGTTGACTACCGCTTTGAGGACGACACGCAGGCCGCCGTGTGACTGTGTGTGTCTGTTGCCCCATGCTCAATCCTTGGTGTTTTTTTGCTGCCTTCCCTGCCCTGCTTCCTCCACCGCAGTCGGCACCACCAGCCAGCCAGCCAAAGGAGAAGGAGCGCCCGGAGCGGCCGCGGGGAGCTGGGGTGCGGAGGGTGGTGTGGGTGGGGTGGGGGCCGGCACATGTAGTCCCCGAGGAGATCGACGCGGAGTTCCGGCGGTTCGGCCCCATCGAGGACCTGCGCTTCCACCCCGACCGCGCCTGCGCGTTCGTCGACTACCGCTTTGAGGACGACGCGCAGGCCGCCGTGGCGTCCATCAACAACGTCCGCACGCGCGACGGCGGCGTGTTCCGCGTTGAGTTCGCGAAATCGGGCCCGCATTCCGGCGGGGGAGGAGGGGGTAGCGGCGGCGGCGGCGGCGGCGGCGGCGGCGGTGGTGGTGGTGGTGGTGGTGGTAGAGGAGGTGGTGGGGGGAGTGGGGACGGGTCTCCTAGCGAGATTCTATGGGTGGGGTTTCCGAGCACGCTCACAGTCACAGAGGAGCGGCTCCATGCGGCGTTTTCCCAGCACGGGCAGATTCGGCGCATCAAGACGTTCCCGGGGCGCACGTACGCGTTTGTGGAGATGGCCACGTGCGAGCAGGCGACGAATGCGATCCGCGCGCTAGACCATGTGCTGTTTAACGACGACCGCGTGCATATCCGGTATTCCAAAAGCGAGTTTGCGTTTATGCATGCCGCAGACCCGCCCTTCTCCTCCCCTGCTGCTGCTGCAGCTGCCGCTGCAGGCGGCCCAGCAGGAGCTGCATTTGGGGAGGGGTTCGGCGAGAGGGGCAGGCAGGGAGGAGGGATGGGTGGTGGGGGGGTTTCTGTTGGTCCGTATGAGGAGGATCGGGGGTTTGGGGGGGATAGGGAGTATGGTCGGGGGAGAGGGCGGGGAAAGGGGAAGGGGAGGAGGGTGAGGGGAGGCAGAGGAGGGAGAGGTAGGGGAGGGTGGGAGGAGTGGGATGGTGATGGGGACTGGGAGTCGCCCCCTCGTGGGCCTGAGAGAGGGGGGAGAGGAGGGAGAGGAGGGGGGCGAGGTGGGGGAGAGGTTGGGCGGATAGGGATTGGGAGAGGGAGAGGGAGAGGGAGGAGTGGGACAGAGGTAGGGAGAGGGACTGGGAGAGAGACGAGCGGGACTGGCGGGACGGGAGGGACGGGAGGGAGGGATGGGATGACAGGGATGAGTGGGATGAGCGGGATGGGAGGGATGAGAGAGATGAAAGGGAGTGGCAGCGGGGGTTTGACTCCAAGCGTCCACGAGTGGACGGCCACTTCGATCCGGATAGCCGTGGCCGCTTTTACGATGATCGCGACGGGGGCCCTTTGCCTCCTCATGGCCCTCCCCCTCATGGCCCTCCCCCTCGTGGCCCTCCCAGCCGCAGAAGCAGTGGTTGGGACGTCGTAGTGCCCCCAGCTGCTTCTGCTGCCTCTCCTGCTGCTTCTGCTGTTTCTTCTGTCGCCGGGCCTCCCATACCGGCCCGTCCAGGCTTGCCTGGGGCTCTTCCCGGCCCCATGCCTCCTCCCGGACCTGGTTTCGTACCTGGAGGGCTGGCTCGGGCGGTTGGGGCTTCGGGTGGCGCGGGGTCGCATTGGAAGGGGACGTTGGCCAAAGGGGGGATTGTGGTGTGCCATGCGCGGGCGATTCCCATCGGTCCAGGCATCTCTGCACCCATGTATGTCATGTGTCTCTTAACAAAGACACGAGTTGTGATGCTGACTCCTTTGGCAATTGTGTGTGTGTGTGCATGCTTTGGTTTTTGCCTGTTTGTTTTCTCTGGCTGTTGAAGCCTCTTTTGTCCTGTCCTTGATTAAGTTCTGAAATGTCCACTGATTCAGTGAGAGTCCAGGTAGCAACTTATTCGATTCAGCACTTTCACGTCTGGTTCCCCTCCTTTCCTCCAGGCCTGATGTGCTGAACTGCTCGGCGCGCACGGAGCTAGACACCCTAGCGAAGCATGTGCGGGCAGCAGCGGATTTCGGAGTGGTGGCCATCATTCCCGAGGCACAGCCGGACGTCCCTCCTTACCATGACCTCGTGCAGTACCTGGGGGAGAAGCGCCGAGCAGGCGTGGCGAAGCTGCCTGACGGCTCCACGCTCTTCCTTGTCCCGCCCTCCGACTTCGCTGTGTCCGTGCTCCAAGTGCCCAGAAACGACTCCCTCTTCGGCGTTTACTTAAACGTCGCTGCTCCTCCTCCTGCTGCTCCTCCCGCTGCGCCCGCTGCTGCTCCTGCTGTTCCCGGTGCTCTCGCTACGCCGGCGCTTCCCTCCGGTTCTGCTCTGGCTGCAGGCGCTGCTGCTTCTGCTGCTAGGATGCTGCCAGCTGGGATGCCACCAGGTGGGATGCTGCCAGCTGGGGTGCCGCCAGGTGTTCCGTCAGGTGCCCTGCCAGGTGCTCCGCCAGGTGCCCAACAAGGCCTGGTTTCTCCCAGTCCTCTTCCGCAGGCCACCCCCCTTCCTCTCCCGCACACAGGGCTGATGCCCCAAGGGCAAGCAGGGAGACCTCCTTTGCCTCCCACCCAACAGATTCAGGGTCAGCAGCAGCAGCAGCAGCAGCACCAGCAGCAAGATGGACCCGCCTCTTTTAGGTGGCAGCAGCAGCAGCTGCCGCAGCAGCAGGGAGGGGGAGTAGGCCTGTCCACCCAGCCTCTTTCGCCGCCCCAGAGACCAGTGCAAGCACCAGTGCACCCATCCGCGGCGGTTTCCTTGCCTCGTGCCCCTGGCGCTGGTCCTGGTCCCGGGTTACCACCCGGTTACCAGCCTCTGTCCTTCACACCTCCGGTCCCTCCTAATGCCCGTGCTTCTGCCTCCCCCATCCCCCCTGCTGCGCTTCAACTGATACGCCCGCCTGTGGGTGTGACTGGGGGAAGCACCGAGGGAGCAGGGACAGGGACAGGTACAGGGGCAGTGGCAGGGACAGGGGCAGGGGCTGGGGCAGCGGCAGGGGCAGGCTTTTCTGGGGCGGGTTTACCTGCTGGGATCACGCCTGAGCTCCTGGCGTCTCTGTCGTCTCTGCTTCCGAAGCTGAACGTTCCGGCTGCCACCGGCGCTGCTGCTGCTCCGGGTGCTGCTGCACCAGGTGCTGCTATCACTCCTGGCAATGCCTCTGCCCCTGCCACTGCACCTGGTCCAGGCATGGGTATGGGTGTTCCCCCCACTGGTGCAGGCATGGGTGGGATGAAAAGAGAGTTTGCCTCAGTGCCGCCCCCGCTTCCCCCTGCTCCTCCAGTCGGAGGGCAGTTTAACCAACGGCCTCCCGCCCCCCCTCTTCCTCCTCTCCCTCCCCAGCAGCAGCAGCAGCAGGTGGTGTCACCGCCCCAGTTTACCCCTGAACAGCTGGCTCAGCTAAGTAAACTGTTGGGACAGCACCAGGCACAGCCGCAGCCACAGCAACCTCCGCAGTCCATGCAGCAGCAGGTGCAGCAGCAGCAGCAGCAGCAGCAACAGCAGTCAATGCAACAGCAGGCGCAACAGCAGCAGCAGGCACCGCAAATACCACAGGAACAGCCGCCTGCGAGCCAGGGTGGTCAGTGGCAGGGCAATCGGCCTAGCAGGTGGAACCCCCCTCCAGACAGCCACTTACCGCAGGGAAACCCTTCAGGTGCTTCTTCAGGTAATCTTCCAGGTGCCATTTCAGGTGCCTCTGCAGCCGCATCTGCTCCCTCTGCACCTTTACCAGGTGGTGGCCTTTCAGGGTTTCCACCTAGAGGGCCCTTTCAAGGGCCACCACTGCCCCCGCCGCAGCAGCCGCAGCAGCAGCAGCAGCAGCAGCAGTGGCGGCAGCAGCAGGTGCAAGGGCAGGCGGATGGTTCTGGCTTTGGTGGCGGTGGCATGAGGGGCCCGGCTTTTGGTGATCGCGGCAGTGCAGGTGGTGGTGGTGGTGGTGGTGGTGGTGGTGCTTGGAGTGGCATGACTGCCGGTGGCACTGCTGCTGGTAGTGCTGCTGGTGGTGCAGGTTTTGGTGGTGGTGGCGGCGGCGGTGGTGGCGCTGCTGGTGCTGCTGGTGGTGCTGGTGCTGTCCCAGCCTCGTTCAACCCTCACTGGGTTCAACAGGGGCCTTCGGCACCGTTACCTCCTCAGCAGCCTTTCTACCAGCAACAGCAGCCGCAGCAGCAGCAGGCAGGTGGTGGTTATGGACCAGGTTCAGGGGCTTCTTCAGGTGGTTTTGCAGGTGGTTCTGTTGGTCCAGGTGGCAGCATGGGAGTTCCAGCAGCAGCAGCAGCTGTGGCAGCAGCAACAGCGGCTGGAGGCGGAGGGGGAGGAGGAGGAGGAGGAGGGGATGGTGGTGGAGGAGTGGCGAGTGGAGGGATTGATTTGCAGGATGAGAGGTTTAAGGCAACTCTGCAGCTTGCGTCGCAGCTGCTGCAGCAGATGACAGCAACAGCAGCAACAGCAGCAGCAGCAGCAATAGGGGTGTGCGTCACCAAGATGCTCCGTCTATTCTTCGATTCTGGTAAGTCACTCGGCCGGTTGTCATCCTCCTTGTTTCTGATTGCCTGGCTTCTTCACTTCCCCTTCTCTCTAGCTCGTCCTTTGCCCACTTCTCCTCAGGCTCTTGCCAGGGTTTCTTCCCATCATCCCCCCACCCTATCGAGATTCCAAGCATTTGTCATCGTCCCATGCTTGGTTGTTTCTTCAGCGTTCATGGGTTGGGTGGGGTGTGCGTGAACTTGTGCTGCCATTTTGCTGCCTGTTGGGAATAGTACGCGCATGCGTGCTGCCTCATGCATATCACTCAGGTGCCGGGTAGGTGCAGCAAGTGGTGAAGTGGGGTGTTACTGTGTGTCCACATGTAATTGTTTGTATGCGTGCATGTATGTGTGTGTGTGTGTGTGTGTGTGTGTGTGTTTGTGTGTGTGTGTGTGTGTGTGTGTGTGTGTGCATGTGCGTGCGCGCGCGCGTGGTGTGTGTGTGTGTGTGTGTGTGTGTGCGTGTGTGTGTGTGTGCGTGCGTGCGTGCGTGCGTGTGTGCGTGCGTGCGTGCGTGCGTGTGCATGTGCATGTACTCCTTTTAACGTGCGAGGTGTGAGGAGATGGGAAAAGGGCACAGCGTGAGAGGTACGGAAAGTGAAGAGAGATTGAGTAGAAAGGAAAGGCTAAGAGAGTGAAAGTGAGATGGAGACAGGGACAGATGATTGTGGTAAGGCAGGGGGGTTGAAGAAACAAAAGCTTTTCATCACAAGACTACGGTAAGCTGCTTGGCATACCAGGGCAGCAGCAGCAACAGGTTACAGCAGCTTACAGAGTCGGACGGTACAGCAGCTGCTAAGCAGGGCGAGCACCCAGGCCTTGCCACAAGTCAACTTCAGGCATGCCCTGGGTAAACACCCAGGCAAAGCACTTCATTCACCAGCAGCACAGTTGCCAGTGGCCCTGCCTTTTGCTGCTGCACTAGCTGAGAATGAGCGGCACATCGTGCACTGCAAGCACCAGAGACTCCTCTCATAAAGCATTCGCCAGCGAGCCTCTGCAAGCAATCCAGCACTCGCTGTTATCCCAAAACCCCAGGCCACGATGCTTCTATCTACCCACCTGCTTCTGCTCTAGACGCCAGCTCAAGATGCATTTACGCTGAATTTTGTACAGGGGTAGGCAGGCCAAGATGCTGATTGTGCCTGGCGCTCCTGAGCTTCCCTTGACGGCAAAGGCCACTCGAGAGCAGAGTCTGCATCAGCTGATTTTCTATTGGCAGAGCCATCAAGACCACGCCGAGCAGCACTTGTGCTCATTGCAGCTGCGCATTGCACCCCGCCTGGACTGCATGCGCCACCACTGCCCTCTGCTGCTGGCAGCTGCGCTGGTTGAGTTAAGGCACCTCAAATGCTCGATCCGGACTTGGACAGATGTGCGCCGCATTCGTGCTTACAACTGCGCCATGGTTGCAGCAATGTTTGCAGCACAGTGCCCACTGCATCACCTGCCACACCCGCAGCTGTACCTCGGTACCTTTTCCCCCCTTGGTACCTCTTCTCCCGCCTCAGTACCTTAGTGCCATGCAAGCTTCCCGCTCCGCGTGCTTCTCCTGTCAAAGCGTGCTGGAGTGCCGCTGCCACAAGATCCAGTAGGTGTGAAGCCCATAGAGTACAAGTGAAACTGCGCCCGACGTTTGCACTTGAAGAGAGAGCATTTCCTGCCCCTCCGGACCTACGGGCTTCATTGTTACCGGCAGGCAGGCAGTCCCTGCTTCAAATTGCGCCCCTCCCTGAAGCAGCAGCAGGCGTGCCGGAGGTGAAGGCGACGAGCAGCAGCACTTTCGTACGTCATACCTTCAATGCGCAGCAGAAGAACCCACTGACTCGTGCAGCAGGAATGGGGTACTACACGGCACAGGGTTTTTGAAGCTCCAAGAATGAAAAACAGTGTTATACAGCACCAGGGCACGAGGGTTTTCAAGGAGAAGGCTGACTCACCGTGCAACGACGGTGGTCAGGAGGTTGAGCTCAGCTGCTCGGGCGGGTTTTTTGGAAGCAGTTTGGAGTCTGGATGCAGGGCAGAAGGATTTGGTAGGTGCCCGAAGAGTATCTATCGCATGCAGGTCCCTTGACAAGCAAGGCAACGTTTTTAGGGCTAAGGGTCGTGTGGCGCTTACAAATGGTGCTTCATCCCGCTGGAGCTAGTTTGCAGGGATTAGGGTTGTTGCGATGGCACTACTTCGTACAAGCGTGACTTCTGGGGGCAAAGCATTGTGGCGAGAGGGTACAGGCACCTCCTTTCATGTGCCCTTGACTGCGGCTTGGGTTTTGGCGTGTAGCAGAAGGGAAGGGGCAGAGCAGACACAGGACGAGTTGAGAGTGTGTAAGAGTTGAGTAAGTGAGGCATTAGGGGCAAGAGTGATATGTGTCTTTGTTTCTCCTCTCCGCCACCTCTTTGTGTTTTACATGCAGGCCAACGGTAATTGCTTTTGAGGACTCGACGCCGGAGACGAGACTTCAACATCAGAGAATACAATCCAAATCGTCCGAACATTCTGAAATGAGCAAGCAGGATGCTAACACACTGACTGAATCTTGGAATAGCTGCAAGCTCAATTTGAAGGATTTTATTTTTTGAAGCTACTTACATGTGTATCGAATCCAGAATAGTTGTGCAGTTGCGAAAGTCGATGACAGTTCATAAGGTGCGGGTTGTATCGAAGCAGGCGGGGGATCAACCAATCAACGTGTGAGCTCCGCGAGTATCTTGGACCGCAAATGAGCGTCTGGGCTCACATGGCTTCAGCACATCTGAACCGTCGGAATCACATCTGACGAACCTGGTGAACGTCAGGTGCTTATGGGAAGGCGGTAGCAGAGACATGCAGTACGGCAATTTCAAGAATGGCAATGGCGATTGCCTGAAGTATTTGGTCAGGCATGAACATGAAGCCTGCTGCCATCAATTCAGCTCAGATTAGCGACGCGTCTTGCTCATCGCTGCTTCTCATCAGTGCTTTGATGGGTCGTCCTGTTTCCCGGTGCGAAGCGCGGCCTTGCGCTGCTTTCAGCTTGCTAGAGTTTCGTGGCAACTTTTCGCGAAAATCGCTCTAGCCAGACCAGGTTTAGATTCGTCTGCTCTCTTGGAGAGTAGTAATACGACATGCGATCACTAAGCTGCTGCTCCTGGCTTTTCTTCTAATTTCAATGTCACCCCTGATTAGACTCATCAGGTTGTGAGATGTCTCAAAACTCATCAGGGGAATATCTTTTCGCAGCGCTGACTCGTTAGTTGTTATTAGCACGCTGCCGTGCTTCCAGGAGAACTTACAAGCAGGGTGAGGATGGCGCTGGATTCTATCCTCGCTAGAGTTATCACCGTTAGGAATCTATTCGAGCTCTCTCCATTGATTGCGCGTCTTTAGGAGCATAGCAAATTCACTTCGTCGATGATAATGTAGTCCTCCATCCTCGCTATAAGCACATTTCGTCAGGATGGGTCTAGATTCTTTTCTCGCGAAATTCCTCCGTGAGAAGCTATTGGAGCTCCTCCCGTTGCAGCCGATCCATCCAGATGCCGTCCGAGCGAGCATCCTCAACGGTTCAGTGCACCTGTCCGAAGCCCTGGCCTGTCCAGATTCATTGAATCGGGAGTGGCTGGGGGAGGATAGTTCCCTGCGTGTGTCCTCCGCGCGTGTTGGGTCGGTGAGGCTGGAAATTCGGCTGCTGGGCTCGGCACATGTCAGGTTGATCGTCAACGGCCTTCATGTCTCCCTAGAGCCGAGGTCAGTGCCTTTTATGTGACTGATTTGAATTCCACCCACTTTGGCCCATGAGGGTCAGATTCGGCTGCTGGGCTCGGTACCCGTCAGGCTGATCGTCAACGGCCTTCATGTCTCCCTAGAGCCGAGGTCAGTCCCTTCTTATGTGACTGAATTGAATTCCACCCACTTTGGCCCATGAGGGTCAGATTCGGCTGCTGGGCTCGGTACCCGTCAGGCTGATCGTCAACGGCCTTCATGTCTCCCTAGAGCCGAGGTCAGTCCCTTCTTATGTGACTGAATTGAATTCCACCCACTTTGGCCCATGAGGGTCAGATTCGGCTGCTGGGCTCGGTACCCGTCAGGCTGATCGTCAACGGCCTTCATTTCTCCCTAGAGCCGAGGTCAGTCCCTTCTCACATGGGACTAGAATCCATCCACTTTAGCTCATGAAGGGGAGATGTGGCTGCTAGAACCGTAGCACGACAAATTCATGGTCAGCGGCCTTCATGTCTCCTTGGTGCGGGATATGAGTGCCTTCTATGTTTTCATGCCTCATAGCTTCTATGTTTTCATGCCTCATAGCTTCTATGTTTTCATGCCTCATAGCTTCTATGTCTTCATGCCTCATACCTTCCATGTCTGCATGCCTCATAGCCTTCTATGTCTTCATGCCTCATAGCTTCTATGTTTTCATGCCTCATAGCTTCTATGTCTTCATGCCTCATACCTTCCATGTCTTCATGCCTCAAAGCCTTCTATGTCTTCATGCCTCATAGCTTCTATGTCTTCATGCCTCATAGCTTCTATGTTTTCATGCCTCATAGCTTCTATGTCTTCATGCCTCATAGCTTCTATGTCTTCATGCCTCATAGCTTCTATGTCTTCATGCCTCATAGCCTTCTATGTCTTCATGCCTCATAGCCTTCTATGTCTTCATGCCTCATACCCTTCCATGTCTTCATGCCTCATACCCTTCCATGTCTTCATGCCTCATACCCTTCCATGTCTTCATGCCTCATCGCTTCTATGTCTTCATACCGCATACGAAACTGCTCGTTCTGTCGTCTCATCCTATGCCAAGCCATCCCCCTTGCCCCTTCCCCCACCTCCCTGCAACAACATCAGGCCCATTTGCAAGACACAGGTAGATGGCAGGAAAGCGCTTGAGCAGCAGAAAGCGCCAGTGGTGGGTGCGGAGAAGGCAGAGGATGTGGAATCCAGTGGGGACGTATCAATGGATCAGCAGGTCGCTCTACTGGACCCTGAGGTACGTTGAGCTCTGTCTGTGGCACAGTGCATGAGCAGCAGCAGGCAGGCAGTGGTGGTTACGGAGAAGGCAGAGAATGTGGAATCCAGTGGGGACGAATCAATGGATCAGCAGGTCGCTCTGCTAGACCCTGAGGTAAGTCGGGCTTTGTTTGCAAGCTGCGCATTCTGCTTGATTTTCAGATGCCTCTGCTTTCACTCCCAGCCGAGCCAACCATGTTCTGTCTGCCCCTCTGGTCCTCTTACCTCAGGGTCCAGCAGAGCGACTCTCAGCTTGATGCCATCCCTTAATCCATAGCTGCATGCATCCATGTGTCCGTCTCAAAGGTCATCCCTTCATCCTCTTCTCCCTTCTCACGGTTCCTCCGTTCTTCCCAGGGAGCGAGCCTCCACGAGGCCATCAAGCGCCACGTGGCGCAACGCCATTCGCCCTTCTCGTTCTCCCAGTGGCTGGGCCAACAGCTGGCGTCGTGGGTGCGTGTGGAGCTCCACGACGTGTGCCTGCGCCTGCACCTGCACGCACACACACCACACGCACCACACACACCACACGCACCACACGCACCACACGCACCACACACACCACACACATCCCAATACCACCAGTGCACATGCCGTTCCTGCAGTAAGGGCAAGGGCGTTCAGCTGTTGGAGCAGGCAGAGCAAGCGGCGGTTGACCATTGCGAGGAGCGGTGCGAGGAGAAGTGTGCGGGAAGAGAGGGCGATGGGGGAGGGGTAGGAGAGAAGAGGATCCAGGGCGTGGTGCAGCAGCAAGGAAGGCGAGGCCGCTCTGGTGCTGCCGCTGCTGCTGCTGCTGCTGCTGTGAATGTGACTGGTGAGACCGCCACTGCTGCTGCTGCTGCTGCTGCTGCTGTTGCTGCTGCTGCTGCTGCACCTGCTGCGTGCTGCATTGGCCTGGAAAGGTTGGTGCTGTCGTGTGAACAGTCTAGCTCTGCAGGTGACAGGAGGCAGTCGGCAGACGGTGAGGCCGTCCCAGGTGGTTGGGCAGGCGCAGGGACGGCAGTTGATGGGGTGGGCGTTGGGGTTGAGGTGGGCGCAGGGAGAGAAGCTAGTGGAAGGAAGGCAGACGGACACAGCACATGGGGGGATGGAGGTGCGAGTGGAAACCGTAGCAGCGGAGCCAGTGGGGTTACAGGTGAGAGAGGCAAGCGGGCGTGGGGCGGGATGTGGGAAAAAGCTCACTGGAGGAGTGTGCTTGTGTGGTTTCTGGTAGGAGTTTGTGTGTTTCTTGGGGTGTCTGGGCTCTTACTTGCGGGTCAGCTACCCGATGCGACTGGTATGGGAAATCTGTTGCAGCCGCGGCTGTTGCCCTTGACACAGCAGAGGAGTCTCTCCTCTAAGGGCAATTTCTGGAAGCCGCTGGTGCAGACTCGGTGGGTGGAAACAGCAGCAGCAGCAGCAGCAGCAGCAGAAGACGGCGCATTGCAGGGAACTGCAGCAGAGGCAGCGTTTTTGGGGAGCACTGCGGGCACAGCAGAAGCAGCAGCAGCCGCCGCCACCGCAGCAGCAGCAGGTCTATCACACCAGTTGAAGGCCTGGGAGGGCTCTTTACAGCAGTCTGTGCTGCTGGGCTGGGCTTTGGGTTTTGCCACCCTGGTCTGCCTCCTGGCGTTTCACCTGATGCGTGCTGCCAGGGACACAGCTGCTCGCGCTGAGGCCGCAGCTAGGTGGGTGAAGGCGGGTGCAGAGCGGTTGAGAGCGGTGGCAGTGTGGGTGGTAGCAGCAGCTGTGTGGGTGGGGAAAACGGTGAGGTTGATCGTGGGTGTGAGTCTGGGGGGTGGTAGAGGAGGGGAGGTTTGGAGGGAGGGTGGGTTGGAGCAGCGGTGGGAGGTGGGTGGGCTGGCGCTGTGGCTTGAAAGGGGTGTGGGGGAGAAGGTGGGAGGCAAGGGACGCGAGAAGGGGAAGTTGGAGGGAGAGGGAGAGGAATGTGAAGTTGTGGAAGATCTAAGTTTGGTCGATGGGGTCTCGAGGGGGACGGGGAATGTTGACTTGGCGAGAGGTGCAGGGATGGTTGTGCGGCGAGGGGAGGATGAGGAGGCAGAAGATGAGGAGGAAGAGGAGGATGGGAAAGAGGAGGAGCAGGAGGAGCAGGAGGGTGAGGAGGAGCAGGCGGGCGAGGAAAGGGGAGAAGTACAGGAGGGTGGTGATGGGAGGAAGGAGGCGACAGGGGAGACTAAGAAACCAAACCCACCCCGTTTAGAGTCAACCAGGCAGGCCAACAACTCATACCCATCCACATCATCCCAGCTAGCCTCCCCCTCCAGTCATCCCAATTCCTTCCCTAGAACCACCAACGTCTTTCCCACTAAGCTCTTCTTGATTGAGCCGTTCAGAGGATCCGTAGTGCTGCAGTATTCGCAGGACTGGGCTGTGCAACTCACAGCAGTGTGTCTGCATCAGTCAGTCAGGGTCAGAGTGAGAGGCCTGCCGGACCTCCTCCCTTTGGCGTCTGCTGCTGCTATGTTCCTCCAACCCTCTCCTCCTGCTCCCTCTCCGCCTGCTCCCTCTCCTCCGCCTGCTCCCTCTCCTCCGCCTACTCCGTCCCTGAGTGCGTTGCCTTCTGCTCCTGCCCCCGCAGCTACCCCTTCTCTTCTTTCTCCTAGCCTTCCATCCTCAAACCCATCAGTACCACCACCACCACCACCACCAGCAGCACCAGCAGCAGCACCAGCAGCAGCACCAGCAGCAGCACCAGCAGCAGCACCAGCAGCAGCATCACCAGCATCATCACCAGCAGCACCACCAGCAGCACCACCAGCAGCACCACCAGCAGCACCACCAGCAGCACCACCAGCAGCACCACCAGCAGCACCACCAGCAGCACCGCCGTCACCACTGCCGTCACCTGGACCATCGTGCTCCACAGCAGCAATCGATGGGGTGCTTTTTCCGGCATGCGTATTGCTACCCAATGGGAGTGGGAGTGGGGGTAAAGGTGGGAGTGGGAGTGGGAGTGGGGGTGGGGGTGGGGATGGTGGGGATGGTGGCGGTGATGGTGGTGGGGATGGGGTTAGGTTTGGCAGCAGCAGTAGCAGTGGGACTGGAGGGGAGATTATTACAGCCCAGCACTCAAACACTGAAGCCCAGACAGCCAAATCAGCGCATGCCAGGTGGCAGTACGCAATTGGCCTTGTAGTGCAGCAGATTCAGCAGAGCAAGCAGCTAAGACTAGACGGAGCTGTAGACGCAGTGGCACTCAGGAAAAAATACGCCACTCTCTATTCTGATTGGCTGCTGGCAGCCTCTGGAAAGGTTTTGCCTGACCGAAAGAAGAGGCAGGGCAGTATTTCCAGGCGATCATCTCTAGCGTTTTGGAGGAGGGAGGGGGTGAGAGCGCAGCAGAGAAGGGCAGTCGCTGCTTTGGAAGGTGAGCTGACGGAGCTTGAGAACAGGCTCGGAGCCACTGGAGTGGTTCTGGCTCGGCGCTTGGCTCGGAAGCAGGCTCGGGGAATGGTTGGAAAGCAGGCTTGGAAGCAGGCTCGGAAACAATCTTACTGGATTGAATCCTGGGGCGAGCTGCAGGTAAAAGGGGTTGACTGGGCGAGGGCAGAGCAGGGAGCGGAGATGGGTTGGGATGGGTTAGAGGGAGGCAGAAGCGGTGGGTGGGAGGTACAGGCAGCTGGGTTCGATGTGGTGGTGGGGCTGGTGGGAGCGGTGGGACCAGTAGGAGCAGTAGGAGCATGTGGAGCAGAGCGCGCGGTGATGCCTCCTGTGGTCCTTGACTCTAGTGCACGCGGATACCGTGATGCTGCTAGTGGCGTCCCTTTTGGTGATGCTGATGAGGGGGGTTGGGGCCATGCAGACGCACTGCATGTGTCGGTGTCAGGAGTGCGGGCAGGCATGCTGTCGCTGTTATCAGGAGGCTTCCAGTGCGGTGCTGAGGTGTATGCAGTGCACGGATGCTTGTGCGGTGCTGCACATGTGTGCGCTGCTCCTGCTTCACACATGGGCAGTGCCCCACACGTGTGCGCTGCATCACACATGGGCACTGCTCCACATGCATCCCATTGCTCTGACTCACATGAGAGTACGGCGCCGTTCCTAAGCCTGTCTGCTCGGAAAGGTCTGAGAGCAGCGGTTACTGAGAAGAAGAAGAACGTTGGTGATAATGAGGAGGGTGGAGGGGGGGCAGGCACAGGGGCTGATTCAACCACGGAGGAGAAGCCAGGAAGCTTGGTGTCCCAATTGGTTCGCCGCATCCTACTCACCCCCCTGCCTCGCTTCCTGCACCTGCGTCAGTCTAATGAAGACAAATCTTCCAGAGTTGGGACTGAAGCAGAAGCACCGGAAGCAGCAACCGGATCAAGCAATAGTACCAGCAAACCTGGTGCTTTTGAGAACACTGGAAATGGAAATGTGGCCAATCAGGAGCCGTTTTTGTTGTTCCAGATGGCGGCCCCTGCTCTCGCCTCCACCAGGCCCGACAGGCCGGTGCAGGTCCACGTGGCAGTAGGTGATTCGCTCGTGGCTGTGAGTCCAGATCTGATTGGCGCATTTGTGGCGTTGAGAAAGCTACTGGGGCAGGTGTCAGATGTGGCTAGTAGCAAAGGGAGTGGCTGCGAGGGGAGCAGCAGTAAGGGAAGCAGCAATGAGGGGAGTGCAGAAAAGGATACAAGCAAGGGTAGGGAGAGGAGAAGCAGAGGAAGCAGTATAGGCCCAGTGGAAGGCAAAGATTTAATTTGTGTGAAGCACCCGACTAGTGATGATCTTCCCATGACTGCTGCACATCGTAGGAATGACAGACACAACACCCATGGGATTCGTACTGACGGGCACAACAGGCAACCCACTCCCACAACAGGCTGTGACCATCCCAGCAGCTTGGACAGCCTGTTTGCAGCTCTGCGGTTGGGACTAGATGGACTGATTCCCGGTGCGTCGTGGTGTGTGGACGCGACAAGTGGCGGGCTGTGGTTGGCGGTTGGAGTTCAGGCTGACGTGGCAGCGGCGGCGGCAGCTGCTGCTGTTTCTGGTGTGACTTGCAGCGGCAGCAAGGAAGCAAGCACTGGTGGCTGGCCTGGGATGTCTGGTGGTGGCTTCCCTCTAGGGGGGAAAGGTGTGTCAGGTGTGAGAGGGGGTGCAGATGCAGATGCAGAGGCTTCCAGAGAGGGGGTGTTTCCGACCACCAGGGCTGTGGTGGGAGGAGAAGCGGTAGAGGCGGGGAGAGAGGGTGAAGGCTGGTCAGGACGAGAGTTGAGAGTACGAGTAGGAGGAGCAGCAGGGGGGACAGAAGGAGGAACAGGAGGACGAGGAGGAACAGAAGGAGGACGAGAGGGAGAAGAAGCGGCAAGAGCGAAGCAGCAGGAGGATCGTGTGACTGTAATGAGCGGAGCGGATGTGTTAGTGGCTGAGATTGCTTCTCTTGCACTAAGGTTGCAGCCGAAACCGCCGTACAACTTGTGTAGGGGTCCCATTGGTAACTTCGGCAATAGCCCTACAGGAGTCACTCATGCAGGGCAAGCGGAAAGAAGGGGTCATGTGCAAGAAGAGGAGGAAGTGCCGGCATATAGCGGCGGAGAGGGGAAGAGAGGGAGGGGAGAGGGGAGGAGGATTCGGAGAGGAGACTCCAGAGAGGAGGGGGATATGCGGAGTGGTAAAGGAGCTGTATTGGAAGAGGAGGAGGGTGGAAAGAGGAGCGTGATTTGGGAAAGGTTGGAGCAGGCTGTTTGGAACGGACGGCCGAGATCAGCCCGCAGCGGGGGAGAGTGCAATCTAACGGTGGGAGATTGTGGTAAACAAGGGGGTGATGCGGCAGTGGGGTATGGGGCAGTGGACGTGCACCAGGTGTGGCACAATAGTGATGCGACTATAACGGGGCTCAGCATCCAGGCAGTGGGTGTGCGTATAGAAAGGGATGAGGTGGGAGATGGTGAGATTGATAGGATGTATTTGCATAGGGGTAGATGGAGTCAGAGGGGGGGGCGTGGGAGGAAGAGTGGGGAGTGTGATGCGGTGACGAGGAGTGAGTCTGTGTGGACAGCGGTGCTGGCTCCGACCCAACTCAGTGTGCTTGCCTCTCTGTACCGATGTGAGACCACCACTTTAATCACAACGGATACAATCACATCTGCGGCGGCTCTGATCCGCGTCCCTGTGGTAGCTGCTTCGGTGCCAGCTACCATCGTCCACGCACTTCCACAGGTGAGAAGCTGTGCAAACTGCGTTGATTGAGAGCGGAGCGTAGATAGCTGTACTACCACATTTTTTGTAACACAATCGCACAGTCACGCAATTAACTGCACAATGTAGGTAAAACGCTCTGCTCTCGCCACGATAGAGAGCCCACATCGTCAACACCAACTACCGTTCTGTCCTGCGCCTGTTGCCTTGTTTCAACATACCTGGACTGACTTCTTCCGTTTGCCTCCTCCCCTGGCAGGTGTTACAAGCCATTCTCAATGCCATGCCTGCTACTGACACGTCTAAGCATACCACCACAACTAGCAGCAGGGCAACACAGCCCACAGCAGCAGCAGCAGCTGTACATACGGCAAGCGCTGTAAATATGGCTCCCAGTCTTGTAGACTCTCCAAACACTGATGTGCATGTGCCATCTGCTCCTACTTTTGGGGACCCCTCCGCTTCCACCTCCACTGGCGCCTCCTCCTCCTCCTCTTCTTTTCCCACCTCTCCTTTCCCCACCTCTTCCTCCTCCCCCTCCGCCTCCCCCTCCCAGTCCTCCTCTTCCTCTTTCTCTCTCTCCCTCGGTCTCGAGATTGCCTCTCTCTCTGCTGCTCTCTGCGCCACTGTACCCTTCACTGTCGTGTCTCTGCCAGCTAGGATTCTTCCAGACGTGCTGAGCTGTCCTCTGACACGTGGCACAGTGGAGGAGGAAAGGGGAGCAGAAGGGGACGATGCTATCGAGGGGCAGGAAAGGGAGGAGAGGAAGGAGGGGCAGGAGAGGCAGGAGGGGGTTGAGAGAAATACTTCATGGGTCGGGGGAAGGAAGAAAATGGAGAGAAATGACTTGTGGGATGTGGGGCACGTGAGGGCAGAGAGGGGGGGGTTGGATGAGGAATTGCCGTTCAGCAGGAGTAGTAGCGTGCAGATGAGAGGTAAGTGGGGTGCTCTGGAGAGTGGTAGGGAGGGGTTTAGGAGGATTAGAAGCTTAGCCAGTGAGCTGCAAGGGAGTGGGGGAAAAGGAGGGAAGGGCTTGGGTAGAGAAGAAGGGGCGATAGCAGGTACCAGCACCGACAGTGCGGGAAGAAGTGGGTTTGAGTGGGATGGGAAGCGGTGGGGGGAAGGAGTGGGAAGCAGTCGAGGTGTGCGTGTGAGGCAGCTTAGACGAGGCACAGGCAGCATGCAGGGAATGGGAGGCGGGGAGGCAAAGGGAGAGGGAGCTGGGGAGGCATTGGGAGAAAGGGCAGGGGAGAGGAGAGTTATTGAGCAGATGGGGAGACGAGGGGGCTTGCTTCGAACAATCTCTGAACAGCCGTGGATGGTGCGGGGGCGAGGGCTTGTGGGAGGGCTTGGGGAGGTGGTGGGGGGAAGGAGAGACAGGGTAGAGAGGCCGTGGGTGGCGAATGACGAGGTGGATGATGGAGTGAAGAGCGGTGATGAGGAGTGGAGAGGTGAGAGAGAGGACCATGGAGAACGGGATGATAGGGATGATGGTGGGGATGTGGGGAATGATGAGAATGATGAGTGTGGGGACGGGGAGGATGGGGAGCATGGGGCAGGCAGTGTGGGAGCCGTTACAAAGCAGGGGAATCAGAGAAGGTGGAAGGGTTGGTGGAAGGCCCTGGCACTGATTCGAGGAAGGGGGAAAGATGGCGGGGAAAGAGGAGGGGGAGGGCAAGAGGACGCGAGGGGACGAAGGGGAAGGGATGGGATGGCAGGCGATAAAGGTGAGGGGCGGAGGGGAACAGAGTGGGGTGCGGGTGAGCAGCTGAGTGCAGCTGAAAGCAGTGTTGTGAACGATCAAGTACCAGCAACATTCGTTACAGACCCAAGAACACACGCCACGAGCACTGTAACCCGTGGAGGCAGGGAGCAGCAGGTGGCAGCAGCAGAGGCGCGGAGTTTCAGTCTAGACGTGCTAGTGAGCGATGACAGCGCAGAGCAGCAGGTGCTGCTGGGACTCGCGCCTCTGCTGCTCTCCTGCCATTCTGATGCACCTGGTGTGATCCGGCAGGTGCTGCGGCTGGTGAAACAGCAGGAGAAGCAGCATGGGAAGCGGGAACCGAGGAGTGGTGGCAGGGAGGGGCGGGGTAGTGGTGGCTGGGATGGGAGGGGGAGTGGTGGAAGGAAGGGTGGGGGCAGCGGTGGAAGGAAGGGGAGGGGCAGCGGAGGTGAATTGTTGTTTGCAGCGCTGCCTGTGCTGCGAGGGCCAGTGGACACAGTCTGTATGGACCATTTCTCTGCTCGAGTGGCGCAGTCAAATGAACAAGGGGGTGGAGGAAGTGACGCGGGTGAGTCAGCAGAAGGGGCAGCAGCAGCAGCCGAGGGTTTGTGGTCCGTCCCTGCGTTGTCTAGTTATGGTGGTGCAAAGGAAATGGGATCGGAGGAGGAAAAGAGTCGGCAGGCAATGCAGAAACGCTTTCTGTCCATACCAAGCTTTGTCGGGCCTCGAGAGAGGAGAAGCAGCAGCAGCAGCCACAGCCGCAGCGGCAGCCGCAGCAGCAGCAGCAGCAGCCACAACAGCAGCAGCTACAGCAGCAGCAGGAGGAGGATTGATGGGCCAGGGTTACCAGCTGCGTGTGCGTGCCACGAGGTGTGGCAGCTCTCAGCCTCTATGGGCCCCATCAGGGGCGGCAGCAGTGCCAGGCTCGGCAGGCTCGGCACGTCTGACAGGTTCGGCAGCAGGTTTGGCAGAGTGGGCAGGCTCAAGAGGAGTGGTGGTGGCGGTGGCAGCAGCGGTCAACAGGAGCAGCGGCAACAGAAGCTCCAGCGGCCGTGGCATTCAGAAGCAGCTGACGTGTCTATCGAGTATCACTTTCCCTTAGCACCGATTGGCTCAACCTCTTCCCTTCCATGCGCCCCTACCTGCACATATCCGGCAGACTCCTTTGCTCTGTCCTGGCAGGGTGGGCTCCTCGCCTTAGACCCTGCTGCTCTCTCCCGCCTCTCCCTCGCTCTCTCAGCCCTCTCCCCACTCTTCACGTTCAGTACACCGGAGCAGATGGCCTTACTCTCTGCAAGCGCTGCAAATAAAGTATCAGCAGAAGAAGCAGAGTCTGGGGGTCCTTCCTACATGGAATGTCTCAGGCTGATGTGTGGACATGCACGGGTGGACGTGGATGCGTTTCGGTTGTTGCTGCTCCACCCAGAGGCCAGAAAAGGTGGATTTCTCATGCTCCTGAGTGCGTTTGGTTCTTCTGAGATTGGCCCGTGTGCAGCAGCCGAAGCAAATCCAGTAGGAGTGGATGCGGCACATGCGGTTAGAGTGGATGCTGCCGCGGGTTCTGGCAGTGTCAGAACCATCAGTGGCAGTGGAAGTGGCAGTGGCAGCAGCAGTATCAGAAGACAACAGAGCCGGCAGAGCAGCGAAAGCCGGCAGAATTCCAGCATTCATGCTGTTTCGTTTGACCTCAGGCGACTAGCAGTGAAGAGCGTCAGAGGGGAAGGCTTAGAGCGGAGCCGCGGCTTCCATGAGGCTCTTTTCACCTCTACCTCTGCTGTAATGCACTCAGCTGCTGCTTCGGGCGATTCTGCCACTCAGGGTGCTACTATCGCTGCTGCGCCTGCTGCACCTGGTGCTTCTTCTTCTGCTGCTTCTTCTCCTGATGCTCCGGCTGCTCCTGCTGAAGAGGGGAAAGAGGATGAAATCGGGGGCGAGGAGAAGTTGGGGGATGAGCCTGGGGATAGTGACAGCGGCAGTGACAGGGGCAGTGATAGTGACGATGGTGGTTATGGGGACAAGGACTGTGAGGACAGGGAGGGTGGGGAGTGTGAAGCTGATATAGATGCGGATAGCAGCATTCTGCCAGGACTTTCTGCTCGCCTGAGGCTGCAGCAGAGATTCGTTCCTGGCTCTGACAGTGGTGTGGGCGGTGGTGGCAATGGGGCGATGCACATTGGTCCGGCTAGAAAGTGGTGGGATGCGGTGGAGGGGGGTGTGGATGTGCAGGGAGCTGATGTGGCAGTCACAGTGGCAGAGATTCAGGTGAGAGGCGCCGGCACCTCCTTCTTCCCAGCAATGCTGCACAACTTTGAACACAAGCATAGCAATTCCCAGGCTCCTAAACAAGCTGTCCTGGCCTTCCTAAACAAACTGTCATGTCCTTTCTTTCGAGGATTCTCAAAGTAACACCAATATGGCTCGCCGCAACAAGCTGCTCTGTCCTTTCCTTTCTTTCGTTCCCACGCCTCTTCTCAACAGATGCTGCTGTCGCTCCTCTCCTCCATCTCGCCATCACCACCAGCAGCAGCAGCGGTGGCAGAAGCTCAAACCTCTGAGTCGTTACCCACCTTCCAGCCAACCCGCCGTGCCGCCCCCACTGCTCCTGCCACTGGCAGGGCAGGTGGTGGAGACAGGAATGGTGTCGCAACAGCAGCTGCTGCTGCTGGTGTCGTTGCTGGTAGTGCTGGGTCACTTGTGAATCTTCAGCAAGGTAAGCCGTTTGCACTAGGTGCCCTCTCTTGCTGCTCCTCTGTTTCCTTCACATCCCTCACATACTGTGCCCCTCTCACCTGTCACCCATACCATCCTTCACATCCCTCTCAGCATCCTTCCCTCTCATGGCGCGCCTCTCATGGCGCGCATCCAGGCAGGTTCACTGGTGACCCTTCAGAATCTCAACACACGCCCGCCAGTACCTCACCCAACCTTCACATGCCTCTCCGCATCCCTCTAAACCCTTCTATCCCGCTCATGCCTCAAGTCCTTGTCACCCTCGCTTCCTGCACACCCCACCACACCCCAAGCAGGTTCACTGGTGGCCATCCGGGACCTCGACACGCGCCAGTACCTCACAGTCGAAGACTCACCCTCCCTTCCAGGAAGCTTCCGGCTGTCGTCTGTGGCGCACTACAGTCTCGCTTCGAGCGACCGGGCGGTGTTTCTTGTCCATTTCCCGGAGAGCCGCGGGTGGCGTGAGAAGCTTAAGCTGCCAGCCTTACCGTTCCTGCCACACAGCTGGGGGGAACAACAGCCAAGGGAAATGCGTGATGGGCAGGAGCATGAAAGGCAGGAGCAGCAGCGGCAGCATGAAGGGTTGCGTTGGGATGACCCTCCCTTCTGGAGTATAGCCCGAGATGGGAAGAGTGCCGTTTCCCGCTGGTTCTGCCTTCAGTCTCCTTACACTGCTGATGTTACAGGCACGGGGGCAGGGGCCGAGGCAGAGACTAGCACAGGTGCGGCAGGCACAGATAGAGACACCAGGTCTGGCGAGGATACAGACAGGGCTCTGGTGAGAAGCTCTGACAGGAGCGGCCTCTCAGGCATGCCACGTGGTGCACAGGCTCCTGTTCGCCGGCCGCTGTGCGTGCACTACGAGCCGAACTCGCCCGGTGGGCGCATTGCGGTGCAGAACGGTAATGAGGGGTCGTGGGAGCAGTGGCGGCTGGTGGCAGAGGTAGTGAGGGGTGCAGAGGAGGAGGGGGAGAAAGGGGAGGAAGAGGAGGAGGAGAGGGAGAGAGAGGCGAGGGAGCGGGAGGAAGGGGGTGGATATGAAGAGGAGGAAGAGGGTGGGAGAGAGGAAGCAGTGGGGGCAGATGGGAAGGTTACTGGTAGTGGTGATGGGAGACGGGGAGGGGGAGGGGGAGGGGGGGTGGGAAGGGAGAAGAAATCTGGAAGAAGTGGAGGAGGGCGGGGGAGGGGCAGAGGGGATAAGCGGAGGTGGGTGATTCGCATGCAGAATCGCAAGACAGGGTCGGCTTTTGCGTTTGTGAGAGGGCTGCCTGTGCTGCTGCCGGGTGGGCAGGGCCATGCTGTGCAGATGAGGGTGCTTGTAACGAGGGGCGAGCTTGAGAGGAGGCGGGGAGAGGTGCTGAGGAGAAGGAGAGAAGGACAAGGAGCAGGTGTGGAAGGCGAGGAGGAGGAGCAGCAGCAGCAGCAGCAACAGCAGGGTTTGTTGCATCGTTTGAGTTTACACAAGCATGTCTCGTTGATCCCATCGCTGCGCATTGTCATCAGTGATGTCTTCTTCACCGTCCTCTTTGAGGAAGAAACCAGCAGCAGCAGCAGCAGCAGTAGCAGCACTAATATCGGTAGCAGGAGCAGGAGAAGCCCTGGGCGCAGCAGCAGTACAAAGGAAGAGCACAGGAGACGGCCAGTGGCTCTCCCAGGGGATGTCTCAGAGGGCAGGGGCTTCAGCAGCAGCCGCATCTGCAGCAGCAGCAGCAGCGGTGCAAAGAGTATTTCCAGAGGTGCAAGAGAATTGAGAGGTTTTATCTGGGACGGCATGCAGCACAGCCTGCCTGTGCTGCCGCTGGTTCGGGTGCATGTGGGGGAGGTGGCATCTGTGGTTCAGCTGGGCTCGCACAAGACCCGTCTGTTCGGGTCCTGTTGCGTACAAGTGACCACCTACGATGGCCAAAGGAGCCGATGGTAAGGTCTTTCGGAGTTATTGTTAAGGGTTCTGGGGTTCGGTGTTGGGGTGAGGGTTCAAGTTTGAGTTGGCGGTGAGGGTCAATGGTTTTGGGTCGCACGAGACTTGGCTATTTGGAGCGTGCTGCATCCGAATGGCCACCTAGGATGGCCAGAGGAGCCGATGGTGAGGATCTAGAAATGTTAGGGTTATGGTGAATGGAAGTGTTTGGGGTTGCAGATTCGTTTCAACGGTCACGGCTTTGGGTGTAAGGAATGGTTTGCATCAACTTGTGAAAGTCCTTGAATTCCCCTCCTTTTCTTTCCTCCTTCCCTGCCCTGCGCAACCCGATCAGGACCAGCCTCCTCACGTCAAGCCCAATGGACCTCTTCTGGCGCTCCCGTGCACTCTGTACCCCTTATAAGCCCGAAACACTGGCGCTGTTGAGGGTGCAGCAGGTGCGAGTGGTGGTGGAGGAGGAGTCTCTAGACGCATTGCTGCTGCTGGTGGGACTGCTGGGACTGGCAGGCCCGTATACTGTGCGCCACTCACCCATCCTCGCCAACCGATGCATGGTAAGTACGGGGTTTGGGATTTAGTGAACACAACAGGTGCGAGTGGTGGTGGAGGAGGAGTCTTTGGATGCGCTGCTGCTGCTGGTGGGACTGCTGGGACTGGCAGGCCCGTATACAGTGCGCCACTCACCCATCCTCGCCAACCGATGCATGGTAAAGGGTTTCAGGTGTTGGTATGCACTGCTGCTTCTGGTGGGTCTGCTGGGCTGGGTTGGGCTGGTAGGACTGCTGGGGTGGGGCTAACAGGGTTGCTGTGTACGAACGGAGGGGGGAAAGTCACTTTCAAGTCAACTATCCTGTCTGTCCACTGTCTCCTCCCACCTCCCCCCTCGCACCCACCCAGGTGACCAACAACACGACCCTCCGCCTCGCCTGTTCCTTCTTCAACCACGCCTCTGATGGCTCGCCTGCTGCTATTGGCCGCTTGGGGATGATGCCAAAGCAGGGAGTGAAGGAACCAGCGGCAGCAGCATGCGGAAGCGTAGGAGGAAGGGGCGCATCTGAAGCAGTGATTGGGTGCAGAGGCACTGGGACGTTTCTTGTGCGGTGAGTGTGAAGGGAGCATTTTTTAGTCGACTCAAAAGCAGCATGGGGAAGCGTAGGAGGAGGGCGCACATCTAAAGCAGTGATTGGGTGCAGAGGCACAGGGTCGTTCCTTGTGCGGTGAGTGATGGGTGTATGTACATATGAGTGACATAGCTGGATGATTCGAATTGAAGCAGATCTGAAGCAGTCGTTGGGTGCAGAGGCACAGGGACGTTTCTTGTGCGGTGAGTGTGAAGGGCGCATGTAATACATATTAAGTATGGGGTATATGAAGTGCTGTAGTGCCTGGGGTGTTGGCATGGCGATACGATACGAGCTGACTTCACGTTCCTTTAGCGTCTGTCTGCTCTTCAAGTTAGAGTGTCTGCCCGTCTGAACCACCCTTGTCTATCGTTCGAGGCGCGTCTGTGAAATTTAATGAACCGTGATTTTCCCTTCATCCCCCTCTCCCCCTTCCTTCTTCCTGTGTCCTTGTTCCTCTATAACTCCTTGCTCCGTTCTGTGCTATTCCTTCCTCCTGCAGGCACTTCTTATCCCGCAGAAACTTCTCCAACGCCCGCAAGTCGTCTCTCGCTTTCCTGCGCCTCTTGCCACCACCGCTTCCCAAGGCACAGCACCGCACTGAAACAATCCGAACAGAGCAGCAGCAGCAGCGGCAGCAGCAGCAGCAGAAAGGGGAGCACAAAAAGGAGAAGCAACCGGAGAGGGAACAGCAGAAGGGGAAGCAGCAGGAGGAGGCAGCAGTAGCAGCAGTGCATGAGTGGGTGCTGCCTCTCTCCATGTCCATTGCGAGAGAGGGCTCTCTGGCTGTCCGCACACGCCTGCTACAAGGTCAGTCAGTCCATCTCTCTCATTCGCCACACTGCAATTAAAGAGCGTGCAGGGTCAATGCACCTCTCTGCCACCTCTCTGAACCTCTCTGAACCTCCAATTCGCCCTCTCAGATAACTCAGCTGGTTCTCACTCGCATCCTTCCGTCATCTTCGTTACAGCTTGGCTGAATCAACCCACGAGAACATGAAATACGCATGCATCCGCAGTAGGAAGGGTTTCTTGACTCGTCCTCTCTCGTTTACCCTTTGTGCGGGATCTCAGCAGGCCGCTGCCTCCTTGCCAGGCCCAATGGTGGTGCTGCACGTGTCCAAGAGAACACCCAAGGGCATGAATTCCTCCATCCATCTCCTCCTTTCTCTGCCTCCCATTGTCTCTTCTCCTGCAGGGTCGAACGATATACCAGCTGCCTCACTGCCTGGTCCAATGGTGGTGCTGCACGTGTCCAAGCGCACACCAGAGGGCGTACGGCTCTCTATCTCCCCCTTCCTCTCTGTCCGCAACAACACCGGCTGCCCCCTGCAAGTGTGCCTGCGCCGCCGCCCTGCTCCCGCCGGACGAGCAGCAGCCTCTGCCGCTGGTGCTGGAGGGACAGCAGCTCCTGCCATTGGAGGGGAAGCAGATGCGCCTGCTGCTGCTGCTGGAGGAGCAGCAGGAGGGGAAGCAGTGGTGGAGGGGGTGGGACAAGCAGAGGTAGCAGAGGTGGAGCGGGAAAGAATGGGGGCGAGGCAGCAGGGGGGGATGGAGGTGGTGGAGCAGTTACAGCAGGGGCAAGCTCTGGACGATGCTGCTCTCTGCTTCCGCTTTGCTGCTTCTGCTGGCGAGCAGCGGCGTCTTGTCAACGACCTTGCTGCCGGTACGTATGACCTTGGTTGGTTGGCATGGTTGGCACAGTGTGCGCATGTTGGATTGTGTTTCTGCTTTGCTGCTTGTACAGGCAAACAGCATCGCCTTGTCAACGACCTTGCAGCCGGTACGTATGGCTTTTGCTGGTACTTGCATCACCCTACCCTACTGGTATCTTCTTTCAGTCCGTCTCCTTCTCACCCTACCGTGGCCGTTTATCCAGCTCACACAAGTTATCCGCTCAGTTCTTCCGTGTGCGGTGTGCCTCCCTACCTGCCCACCTGTTGCGCCCAGGCAATTTCCTGCTGTCCTTTCGGCCACCTGCTGCCAGAACCATGTCTCCTGCTGCTTTCGTACAAGGATCTCCTGCCAGAGGCACTGCCACCGTGGCTTGGACTGGCTCCCAGCAGCAGCAGGAGAATGGGCAGGAGAAGCAGCCGCAGCAACAGCGCGGGCAGGAGAAGGAGTGGCTCGAGGAGCAGGAGCAGGAGCAGGAGCAGCTGTGCTTTGATTGGTCGGAGGAGATTTCAGGATCTCAGGCAGTACGAGACAAGAGCTGGCTGGACGGCATACAGCGGCAGATGAAGACAAAAATGGGCCGCATGCTGCAGCTCAGCCAGATGCTGCATCTGAGCGGCGCGCTCAATTCGTCCTTTTCCACCCTCACTTGCCGCCCAAAAAGCCTTTTTGGAGGGTCTAGAGCTCCCGACCCTGAACGGCAGGCTCGGGAAAGGGCTGGTCTAGAAGGGTTGGGAGATGGTACAGGCTCTGCAGTGGGGACCAAGATTCGGCATTTTCTGGTGAAGGTGGGAACTGAGGAGGTTCAGCTGGGGGCGTTGAGAGAAGGGCAAGTGGTGAGTGACTTGCGAGGGGGAGGGAGGAGAGGGGAGGTTGGTGAGAGTGAGAGGGAAGGGGGGGAGGGGAGAGGGGTGGCGTGGGTGCGGCCGATGCAGGTAGAGGTGCTGCCGACTGCTCGAGTGCGCTGCTGGTTGCCGTTTGATATAGTGGTGTGCATCTCACCATCCAAGAAGGACGCCTTTGCTGCTGCTGCTGCTGCTGCTGGCACTGTTGCGGGTGGTGTTGCTGTTTCTGCTGCCACTGGCACTGCTGCTGTGCCAGCAGCTCGTCCATCCGTTCTTTGCATCCCTGCCTCCTCTTCTGGCTGGCTCTCTCTCTTTGCCGACCCTTCTTGGTGCTACCTCACTCTCCTCCATACCTCCTATCCATCATCATCTGCGAAACCACCTGAGGAATCTGTCAGCAGCAGCAGCACGAATTCGGGCAGCATCGGTGTGAGAGCAGCAAGTGACACGTGGAGCAGCGCCCCTGTCCACGTGCCCTGTGCTGGTAACATGCTGGCGCTGCTGACCCGTGACGTGCTGCCACCTGTCAAGGGCGCAGTGGCTCTCGCCCACCTGGGGGGGTTGCCGTCTGCTGGTGGGAATGAGGTTCAGGTGAAACTGCATCAGGTGAATTTCCAGGAGGGGCAGCAGCAGCAGCAGCAGCAGCAGCAGCAGGTGAACCCGCCTCAGGTGAATCCTCAGGAGCAGCAGCAGCAGCAGCAGCAGCAGCGGCAGCGGCAGCAGCTGCAGCAGGGTGGTGTTTCGATGAGGGGGAGTGTGTGTGAGATGGCAGTGCAGCTGCGGACCCGATACAGTGACAAGGATGCAGTACCTGAGGTGAGACTCAAACGGCCCACTGGTCATGAAGAAGAGCTGCAGCGTGAAGGATCGCTTTAGCAAAGAACGATAGTCACTTGTTGAGAAATAGTAACCCTGTAAAAAACTAGAGTAGGAACCGAAAGCACAGCTCTGTTCAAAACTCTGACTTAGGCAAACATGTTTCGGCTTTGCACGGGGATTGTACCCGCTAGGCCTTCATCAGTGCCTTCATCGGGGGCCTGCATCCCCTCTTCTCCCCCTGTGTTCCCATGCAGTTTGAGATCTTCCCAGCATGGACCATCCACAATGCCACTGACACGCTGCTGATCTGTTCCCTGGCTGCAAGCCTGCACTGCTGCCCGTCCATATGCAAACCCTGCATCCCCTCTTCTCCCCCCGTGTTCCCATGCAGTTTGAGGTCTTCCCAGCATGGACCATCCGCAATGCCACTGACACGCTGCTGATCTGTTCCCTGGCTGCAAGCCTGCACTGCTGCCCGTCCATATGCAAACCCTGCATCCCCTCTTCTCCCCCCGTGTTCCCATGCAGTTTGAGGTCTTCCCAGCATGGACCATCCGCAATGCCACTGACACGCTGCTGATCTGTTCCCTGGCTGCAAGCCTGCACTGCTGCCCGTCCATATGCAAACCCTGCATCCCCTCTTCTCCCCCCGTGTTCCCATGCAGTTTGAGGTCTTCCCAGCATGGACCATCCGCAATGCCACTGACACGCCATTGCTCTGCTCCCTGGCTGCAAGCCTGCACTGCTGCCCGTCCATATGCAAACCCTGCATCCCCTCTTCTCCCCCCGTGTTCCCATGCAGTTTGAGATCTTCCCAGCATGGACCATCCGCAATGCCACCAACACGCCGCTGCTCTGCTCTGTGGCGGGAAACCCAGTGGAATCATCCTGGGTGCCAGATGGCAGGGGGAGGAGAGGGAGCCGAGCACAGCAGCATCCACAGCCCTTTTCACCGCACCCCACCGTGTCACTTCTTCTGAACCCCAGTGCCGCCAAGCCGTGGCTTGCTGTGTGAGTGCATGCTGATTGTTTGCTCCCTTGTGCACCTTTGATGCTCTGCTCCTTGCTCTCTTGCTCCTCTCCTCCTTTTCTCCTCTGAATTTTTGTTTGTTTTCTCGTTCTTCCTTGCTCTACAAGCGCAACCTCTGTTGTTGTACAGCGCAAGGCAATATGGCAACGAGATTGCGTTTGAAGCAACAAAGAGTAGGTTCTAAAGCGCCCTCTTCCCCTCTGCCCTTCTAGTTTCTCTCGCAGAGGCACGTAAGTCTGCATCTCCATTGCACAGGAACAGGAGGAGGCGAGTCAAGGGGCGGTCAGGATAGGCGAATTCAGCAGGCCATTTAAAGCGCCCTCTGGCTCACGGACCTGATTTTTGTGGATTCTCACCAAGCAACGAGGTGACTTTTGAGTCGACTCAAAAGTCACCTCGTGGATTCTCAACAAGCACCCTCTTGCCCTCTAATCCTCTCCTTGTTCTCGCAGAGGCACGTCTGTCTGCATCTCCATCGCACAGGCACAGGAGGAGGCGAGTCAAGGGGGGGTCAGGAAAGGCAAATTCAGCAGGCCATATGAAGCACCCTCTTGCCCTCTATTTCTCTCCTTGTTCTCGCAGAGGCACGTCTGTCTGCATCTCTATCGCACAGGAACAGGAGGAGGCGAGTCAAGGGGGAGTGAGGAGAGGGAACATCCGGGAGAGAGACAACAAGGGAAGCAGCAGCAGTGTTGCGGGAAGAGGCGCCACCATTGACCTCTCTTCCATCTGCCGCACCACAGAAATCCAGCTCCTGCAGTATGTACCCGTTGTAAAAGACAGGGAGGCTACTGTAAGGGAGCGGGGGATGTCTATAAGAGCTCAGCAGCAGCAGAGGGGAATAGAGAGGCAGCGGCTTGAGACCGTGGTGGAGGGTGGGGAGGAAGGGGAAGAAGAGGAGGAAAGGGAAGAAAGGGAAGGAGGGGATGTGGAGGGGGGTGTCTCTGCAGCTACTGCTGAGGCGGCGTGTGATTGGTCGCTGCGCTGCTTCCAGTTTGCCGTGCGCCTGCGCCTCTCAGCGACTGGCAGTCCCTCCCGCGTGGCTGAGATCTGCCCGAGATACGTCGTGCACAACCGCTTCCCCGTGCCGCTGCTCGTGTGCCAGGAAGGGCTAGAGGTGGGTTCAGAGAGGGAACGGAGTTGCTGGGTTGTTAATTGGTAGGTACTGGTGGTGGGGCTATGGCAGGTACTAGGTACCAGGTGGGAGGGATGGGGTAGGTGGGGTCTTCTCCCTCACCTGCGCCTGTCAGAGAATGGCAGTCCCTCCCGTGGGGCCGAGATTTGTCCGTGATACATCGTGTGCAACCGCTTCCCTGTGCCGCTGCTCGTGTGCCAGGAAGGCCTGGAGGTGGGTTCGCGCATGGTGATTTGAGAATATTTTCCTTTTTTTTTCAGTGTACCTGTGTACCCAGTTGACCTTTGAGTCGACTCAAAAGTGCCACTGTGAACCACCGTTGCGGGTGTGCTGTGGGTAGATTGCTTGTGCCCACGTGCCTGCCTTCACGTGCCTGCCTTCACGTGCCTGCCTTCACATGCCTACCTTAACCATGCCTGCCTGCCTGCCTGCCCTCTTATGCCCGATCAATGGCAGTACTTTCCTGAGCTTTGGACCTCTACACAGCCAGGCACGATCGTCCAGACTCGCCCACGTGCCTGCCTTACCACGTGCCTGCCTTACCACGTGCCTGCCTTACCACGTGCCTGCCTTACCACGTGCCTGCCTTACCACATGCCTGCCTTACCACATGCCTGCCTTACCACATGCCTGCCTTACCACATGCCTGCCTTACACTTGCCTGCCTTACCACATGCCTGCCTTACCACATGCCTGCCTTACCACATGCCTGCCTTACCACATGCCTGCCTTACCACATGCCTGCCTTACCACATGCCTGCCTTACCACGTGCCTGCCTTACCACATGCCTGCCTTACCACATGCCTGCCTTACCACATGCCTGCCTTACCACATGCCTGCCTTACCACATGCCTGCCTTACCACATGCCTGCCTTACCACGTGCCTGCCTTACCACATGCCTGCCTTACCACATGCCTGCCTTACCACGTGCCTGCCTTACCACATGCCTGCCTTACCACGTGCCTGCCTTACCACATGCCTGCCTTACCACATGCCTGCCTTACCACATGCCTGCCTTACCACATGCCTGCCTTACCACATGCCTGCCTTACCACATGCCTGCCTTACCACATGCCTGCCTTACCACGTGCCTGCCTTACCACATGCCTGCCTTACCACATGCCTGCCTTACCACATGCCTGCCTTACCACATGCCTGCCTTACCACATGCCTGCCTTACCACGTGCCTGCCTTACCACATGCCTGCCTTACCACATGCCTGCCTTACCACATGCCTGCCTTACCACATGCCTGCCTTACCACATGCCTGCCTTACCACGTGCCTGCCTTACCACGTGCCTGCCTTACCACATGCCTGCCTTACCACATGCCTGCCTTACCACATGCCTGCCTTACCACATGCCTGCCTTACCACATGCCTGCCTTACCACATGCCTGCCTTACCACATGCCTGCCTTACCACATGCCTGCCTTACCACATGCCTGCCTTACCACGTGCCTGCCTTACCACGTGCCTGCCTTACCACATGCCTGCCTTACCACGTGCCTGCCTTACCACGTGCCTGCCTTACCACGTGCCTGCCTTACCACATGCCTGCCTTACCACATGCCTGCCTTACCACGTGCCTGCCATACCACGTGCCTGCCTTACCACATGCCTGCCTTACCACATGCCTGCCATACCACATGCCTGCCTTACCACATGCCTGCCTTACCACATGCCTGCCTTACCACATGCCTGCCTTACCACATGCCTGCCTTACCACATGCCTGCCTTACCACATGCCTGCCTTACCACATGCCTGCCTTACCACATGCCTGCCTTACCACATGCCTGCCTTACCACATGCCTGCCTTACCACATGCCTGCCTTACCACGTGCCTGCCTTACCACGTGCCTGCCTTACCACATGCCTGCCTTACCACGTGCCTGCCTTACCACGTGCCTGCCTTACCACGTGCCTGCCTTACCACGTGCCTGCCTTACCACATGCCTGCCTTACCACATGCCTGCCTTACCACATGCCTGCCTTACCACATGCCTGCCTTACCACGTGCCTGCCTTACCACGTGCCTGCCTTACCACGTGCCTGCCTTACCACATGCCTGCCTTACCACATGCCTGCCTTACCACATGCCTGCCTTACCACATGCCTGCCTTACCACGTGCCTGCCTTACCACGTGCCTGCCTTACCACATGCCTGCCTTACCACATGCCTGCCTTACCACATGCCTGCCTTACCACATGCCTGCCTTACCACGTGCCTGCCTTACCACGTGCCTGCCTTACCACGTGCCTGCCTTACCACATGCCTGCCTTACCACGTGCCTGCCTTACCACATGCCTGCCTTACCACATGCCTGCCTTACCACATGCCTGCCTTACCACATGCCTGCCATACCACGTGCCTGCCTTACCACATGCCTGCCTTACCACATGCCTGCCTTACCACATGCCTGCCTTACCACATGCCTGCCTTACCACATGCCTGCCTTACCACATGCCTGCCTTACCACATGCCTGCCTTACCACATGCCTGCCTTACCACGTGCCTGCCTTACCACATGCCTGCCTTACCACATGCCTGCCTTACCACGTGCCTGCCTTACCACGTGCCTGCCTTACCACGTGCCTGCCTTACCACATGCCTGCGTTACCACATGCCTGCCTTACCACATGCCTGCCTTACCACATGCCTGCCTTACCACATGCCTGCCTTACCACGTGCCTGCCTTACCACGTGCCTGACTTACCACATGCCTGCCTTACCACATGCCTGCCTTACCACATGCCTGCCTTACCACATGCCTGCCTTACCACATGCCTGCCTTACCACATGCCTGCCTTACCACATGCCTGCCTTACCACGTGCCTGACTTACCACATGCCTGCCTTACCACATGCCTGCCTTACCACATGCCTGCCTTACCACATGCCTGCCTTACCACGTGCCTGCCTTACCACATGCCTGCCTTACCACATGCCTGCCTTACCACATGCCTGCCTTACCACATGCCTGCCTTACCACATGCCTGCCTTACCACATGCCTGCCTTACCACATGCATGCCTTACCACATGCCTGCCTTACCACATGCCTGCCTTACCACATGCCTGCCTTACCACATGCCTGCCTTACCACATGCCTGCCTTACCACATGCCTGCCTTACCACATGCCTGCCTTACCACATGCCTGCCTTACCACGTGCCTGCCTTACCACGTGCCTGCCTTACCACGTGCCTGCCTTACCACATGCCTGCCTTACCACATGCCTGCCTTACCACATGCCTGCCTTACCACGTGCCTGCCTTACCACATGCCTGCCTTACCACGTGCCTGCCTTACCACGTGCCTGCCTTACCACATGCCTGCCTTACCACGTGCCTGCCTTACCACGTGCCTGCCTTACCACATGCCTGCCTTACCACATGCCTGCCTTACCACATGCCTGCCTTACCACATGCCTGCCTTACCACATGCCTGCCTTACCACATGCCTGCCTTACCACATGCCTGCCTTACCACATGCCTGCCTTACCACATGCCTGCCTTACCACGTGCCTGCCTTACCACGTGCCTGCCTTACCACGTGCCTGCCTTACCACGTGCCTGCCTTACCACATGCCTGCCTTACCACGTGCCTGCCTTACCACGTGCCTGCCTTACCACGTGCCTGCCTTACCACGTGCCTGCCTTACCACATGCCTGCCTTACCACGTGCCTGCCTTACCACGTGCCTGCCTGCCTTACCACATGCCTGCCTTACCACATGCCTGCCTTACCACATGCCTGCCTTACCACATGCCTGCCTTACCACATGCCTGCCTTACCACAAGCCTGCCTTACCACATGCCTGCCTTACCACATGCCTGCCTTACCACATGCCGGCCTTACCACATGCCTGCCTTACCACATGCCTGCCTTACCACATGCCTGCCTTACCACATGCCTGCCTTACCACATGCCTGCCTTACCACATGCCTGCCTTACCACATGCCTGCCTTACCACATGCCTGCCTTACCACATGCCTGCCTTACCACATGCCTGCCTTACCACATGCCTGCCTTACCACATGCCTGCCTTACCACATGCCTGCCTTACCACATGCCTGCCTTACCACGTGCCTGCCTTACCACGTGCCTGCCTTACCACGTGCCTGCCTTACCACATGCCTGCCTTACCACGTGCCTGCCTTACCACGTGCCTGCCTTACCACATGCCTGCCTTACCACATGCCTGCCTTACCACATGCCTGCCTTACCACATGCCTGCCTTACCACATGCCTGCCTTACCACATGCCTGCCTTACCACATGCCTGCCTTACCACAAGCCTGCCTTACCACATGCCTGCCTTACCACATGCCTGCCTTACCACATGCCTGCCTTACCACATGCCGGCCTTACCACATGCCTGCCTTACCACATGCCTGCCTTACCACATGCCTGCCTTACCACATGCCTGCCTTACCACATGCCTGCCTTACCACATGCCTGCCTTACCACATGCCTGCCTTACCACATGCCTGCCTTACCACATGCCTGCCTTACCACATGCCTGCCTTACCACATGCCTGCCTTACCACATGCCTGCCTTACCACATGCCTGCCTTACCACGTGCCTGCCTTACCACGTGCCTGCCTTACCACATGCCTGCCTTACCACGTGCCTGCCTTACCACGTGCCTGCCTTACCACATGCCTGCCTTACCACATGCCTGCCTTACCACATGCCTGCCTTACCACGTGCCTGCCTTACCACATGCCTGCCTTACCACATGCCTGCCTTACCACATGCCTGCCTTACCACGTGCCTGCCTTACCACGTGCCTGCCTTACCACATGCCTGCCTTACCACATGCCTGCCTTACCACATGCCTGCCTTACCACATGCCTGCCTTACCACATGCCTGCCTTACCACATGCCTGCCTTACCACATGCCTGCCTTACCACATGCCTGCCTCTCTCATGTGCTCCCTGCCTCCCATACCCGATGGCAGTATTTCCCTGAGCTCTGGACCACCATACAGCCAGGCGAATCTGCACCCATCCACGCCCAATCACCGTCACACATCTGGTCATCTCGCTCCTCCCTCGCCCTCTCCTCCTCCCCCTACTCTCCTCCGCCTTCCTTTTCTTCCCACGAAGCTCTGCTGGAAGAGGGCGGCATCATTCGTCCTTTCCTGCGCTTCCGCCCGCTGGATTCGTCCGATCCGTTCTCGCCTGCTCCATCTCCTCGAGGCCAATCACAGCCTGCCACGTGGCACTGGTCCGGGCCGTTCGAGGCGGCGTCTCTCGGCTCGTTCTGCCTCAAGATGCGCTCTCACAGCAACAGCAGCAACAACGGGAGTGCTGGTTACCCACTAGGAGGAGGAACCATCCAGGAAACTCCCGCATCACCGTCCCCATCATCCCCATCATCAAAATCACCAGCAGCATCACCGTCAGCAGCAGCAGCGTTTCTGCAACGCCAGCTGTCGATGTCGGTTGTAGCGGCAGGTGGCGTGCGCGTGCTACAGCCGGTGCTCTTCGCCGTTGCTGACGTGGCAGAGGGAGGAGGAGGCGGGGGAGGAGCCACGGGAGGCCAGGCAGAAGCAGCACCTGGATTGAAGTTGAACACATCAGCAGAGCAAGCAGCGGAGTCAAAAGGAATGGGAAAGGGTCCTGGGGATAGATCATCAGGTGTCGATGCAGCAGGGGAGGAGTATAAGCCCTCGGGAACATCATCATCACCGTCAGTGCCGGGAGCAGCGGCAGCAGGGGCGGCAGCAGCAGGGGCGGCAGCAGCAGGGGCAGCAGTGGGCGGCACGTGGGTGGCGGAGATTCGTCCAGTGGACGGCATGAGGGAGGCGCCGTACCGCATTGAAAACACTCTCTCTGGATTGGCCGTCTCTGTCGCTCAAAAGGTGGGGTAGGTGGGCAGGGCTGTAGCCAAAAAGGAACAGCTGGGCTAAAGAAATATAACAATGTTGTGCAGAAAGTGAGTAGAAGAAGGATGGGCTGTAGCATTGATCGGTACGAACTGTCTCACTGGATTGACCATGTGTGTGACTTGACAAAGACACTGGTGTGAATGTGTTTGCATGTTGCATGTTGCATGTGTGCAGTGTTCAGAGGGATGGGAGGTGGTGGAAGCAGGCGAGTCTGTTCCCTTTACCTGGGAAGACTGGCGCTTACCCAAGAGGCTGCTGCTCACTGCGCCAGGTACGCTCTTGAGACGTCTCAAAAGCACTCTTCTTTCACGTGCCTGCTCACTGCGCCAGGTACGCTCCATCCATGTAGTCCCTATGATGGTTTAAAGACTTTTGAGGCGCCTCAAGAGGCTGCTGCTCACTGCGCCAGGTACGCTCCATCTGTGTTGTTCCTATGTTGGTTCATTGGTCCCAAGTATTATCACGCACACGCACCTCAGATCTTGCTACATTGAAATCCTTTGCTTACTGCTTCACTGCTCACGCCCATGCTCCAGGGTGCACCCCTCAGCAGGAGGTCAGTCCCGACAAGGTCAAGCCGTGGCGCCGCCTGCGCCTCCCTCAGTTCCACACTGCTTTCCCTTCCCTGCTACCGTCGCCTTTCCCCTCCGCATCCCCACTATCACTCTTGCCTTCCCCTGCCCATCATCTCTCCCCCCTTTCCCTTGATCCAGGCTGCACCCCTCAGCAGGAGGTGAGTCCCGACAAGGTCAAGCCGTGGCGCCGCCTGCGCCTCTCCCACTCCGCCTTCCCCTCCCTGCTGCCTTTCCACCTGCCGTTTCACCTGCGGCAGCGAAAAGCGGGTGAGGAGGTAGATGAGGAGGAGGAGGAAGAGGAGGAAGAGGATTTTGATGATGATGCCTACAAGTACGAGGACGAGGAGGAGGGGCAAGAAGAGGGGGAAGGTGCTGGGGAGGGTGCAACTGAGGAAGGTAGAGCCGTCAGTGGAAGGGGCAGGGGTAGAGGCAGCAGGAGTGCAGCAGGTGCTTTAGCGAGGCAGCAGGCAGCAAGGCAGCAGGCGGCACGGGAGCAAGCGGCACGGCAGCAGGCAGCAAGGCAGCAGGTGGTGGGAGTGGAGGTGTATGCAGATGGGCCGATCCGGGTGGTGCGTGTGTGCACGAGAGAGGGAGCCAAGGACCGGGAGGGCTCTGGCAAGAAGGGTGGTGCTGCTGGCGGGACTGGTGTGAGCAGTGGCGCTACAAGTGGTGGTGCAAGTGGTGGTGCAAGTGGTGTTGCGACCAGTGGTGGTAGTGGGGCTTTGACTGGTGGTGGGACGGAAGGTGGTGGCAGGGAGGCAGGGGAAGTGAGGGAGATGGAAGGGATGGTGGAGGTGGAAGGGGTTGACATCAAGCTGCTGCAGGTGAGCTCTCCTCACGTCACCTTGTGTTTGCTTATATTTTTACTTTGGATTTCCCAAAAGGGAAACGAGGTGGTGGCAGGGAGGCAGGGGATGTGAGGGAGATGGAAGGGATGGTGGAGGTGGATGGGGTTGACATCAAGCTGTTGCAGGTGAGATTTACTGGGACCGCTCTGAGATTGCTTACTTAGGAAAATTCTCAAAAGTGACACAAGGGGGGGGTATGGAAGCAGGGGAAGTGAGGGAGATGGAAGGGATGGTGGAGGTGGAAGGGGTTGACATTAAGCTGCTGCAGGTGAGCTGGTTTCTTAGGGGGCGCACTCTCATGTGAGGGAAGGGGGCGGAAGGGGGGCAGGGGATGTGAGGGATATGGAAGGCATGGTGGAGGTGGAGGGGGTTTATATCAAGCTGTTGCAGGTGAGCTCACCTCTCTTCGCCATGCCTCTACCCTAGCACTTGTATTCACATGTATGCTCAACTTGTCTGTGACTCTTTTCCGCCCTTTGTATCCGTCCTTGCACCCCGGCCACCAGTCTGGGACCTCCTCCGACCTGAGTGTAAAGGAGGAGGCAGCAACAACAGGGAAGGGTAGAGAGAGGAGAGAGGGGAAGGAGCCGGAGGGAGAAGAAGGGAGAGGGGAGGAGGAGGAGGAGGAGGAGGAAGAGGAAGAGGAGAGGGAGGAGGAGATGAATCGCCGGGTGTTGCTGCATGGACGGGCGGACGGCTTGTGGGCATCCTTGGTCCTTTCAGAAAGAGACCTGGCTGTAGAGGCCGTGCTGTGTGTGAGTTGATCTGAGACGTCTTTCACTGCAGAGGTCATGCACTCGCCCTTCAGTTCTTTGTTCATGCTGTTCTTGCTGTGTGCCCATGCCCATTCCATTCCAACCAATCCCTATGCCCATGCCCATGCCCATGCCCATGCCCATCCCCATGCTTATCTCCATGCCTGTGCTTCTCCCCATGCCCATGCCCATGCCCATGCCCATGCCCATGCCCATGCCCATGTTTATGCCCATCCTCAAAACAGCATCCATGCCCCCTCAGATCGTGGATGCTCAACATGTTTATCTGCCCAGCTTCTATCTCGTTTTCCCATCCACTCCCCCATCCACCCCTCAACTCGTTAACCTTCCGCATCCACAATCCCTCCACCACCTCCCCCCTGCTTCCCTCTCCCCCTCCCCTTTCCCTCCCCGTTTCCACCCACACAGAATGCGGGTATCGACTCTCGCTCCCCGCCTCTCAAGCCTCCACCGCTCCCCATCTCTCTCAGCCGCTCCTCCTCCAGCACCACCGCACAGCACCCCATCCTCTCCTCGGCCGTGGTTCTCCGCTCCCTCAACCCATCTCTCACCACGGCTACCAGTGGCACCATGATAGGACGCACCCTGAGGGATTGGCGGGTGGGGAGGGAAGGCGTGGGAGGGGTGGGAGGAGGGAGAGGAGTAGGAGGAGGTGGAGGAGGAGGGGGAGGAGGAGGCGGAGGGGAGGGGGCGCCGCTGTGTTCAATGGCAGTGGTGGTGAATCGGCTGGCTTCAAGGCCGCAGCACATTCGCTCTGCATCCTTCCTGCTGCAGGTGTGCGCAGGCTGAATGAGTGATTCTTTTGTTGACTTCAAGAGGACTGCTGTTTTAGTCAGCTCGCTTTTGAGATTTCTCAAAAGTGGTTGTGATGCTGTTTTACTCGACTCAACTGGACCGCTTTCCCGGCCGCAGCACATTCGCTCCGCATCCTTCCTGCTTCAGGTGTGCTCAGGCTGAATGAATGATTCTTCTGTAGACTTGAAGAGCAATGCTGTTTTACTCGACTCAACTGCATTGCTTTCCCAGCTGCAGCACATTCGGTCTGCTGCGGCCTTCTTGCTGCAGATGTGTCCATTCAGAATGCTTAGTGGGGTGATTTACTTATCCTAAGGAACCTCAAAATTAATTCAAGGATTGGAAAGAACTGGCTTTGTGCTGTTGCGAGGATTCGATGCTCTTTATGCCTTTTTTACGCTCCCATCCTCTTCCAGCCCATCCCATCCCATCCCATCCCATCCCATCCCACCCCATCCCATCCCATCCCACCCCACCCCATTTTAACCCACCCCACCCTATTCCATCCATCCCACCCCACCCCTCCCATCCCAACTTCACCAGCCAGTGGAGATGAACATAGATGAGAGCACGCTGCTGCGCCTCGTGCCCTTCTGCCGCAGCAAAGACCCCAGCGTGCCCGTGCAATTGGTGTTCTTATGATGCTCCCATCCCACACCACCTCATCTCATCCCATCCCACCCCACCACACACCAGCCAGTGGAGATGAACATAGATGAGAGCACGCTGCTGCGCCTCGTGCCCTTCTACCGCAGCATGTGATGCTCTTGATGCCCTCACCGCACCCCATCCCACCCAGCCCCATTCCAACCCAATCCCATCCGAGTTCTCCCCATCCCACCCCACCCCTCCAGCCAGTGGAGGTGAACATAGATGAGAGCACGCTGCTGCGCCTCGTGCCCTTCTATCGCAGCAAGGACCCCAGTGTGCCCGTGCGCGACTGGAGCACCACTCCCATCTACATCGAATACCTCGAGATTCACCCCATTAAGGTACTCAAAGTGTAGGCCCACAGTTGCGTTCATTCACAGTGTAGGTGTACAGTTGCGTTGCAATGATGTGTCGAAACTGTGGCTTGTAACTAATAAGCCCGTGCGCGACTGGAGCACCACGCCCATCTACATCGAATACCTCGAGATCCACCCCATTAAGGTGCGCTCACAGGAACAAAGGATTCTGGACGAAGAAATGCTTACGAGTAGATGCAGTCGGGTTTTGAGTAGATTGCATCGACTCAAAACACGATTCTGGACGAAGAAGTGCTTAGAAGTAGATGCACTGTAGGGTATCTTGGGTTTAGGGTTATCATCCTCCATCCTGCGTCCCCCATATCCCCATCGCCCTTCCCTCAGGTGGTGGCGAGTTTCCTCCCCAGTGCACCGGGTGCCATAGACTACTCATCAGCACAGGAAGCTCTGAGGGGGATTCTGCACTCGGTGATCCAAGTGCCAGCAGTGCAGCGCACGCCCATCCACCTGCACGGATTGCTGCTGACGCATGCTCTCACCTCGTCCAAGCAGATGGTTGCCAAGCTGACCCGACACTACTCGTGGTGAGTCTCGCTGCCTTGTACGACGAATCATGCCTTCCCGCTCGTGATTCAAGTGCCAGCAGTGCAGCGGATGCCCATGCACTGACATCCTCCAAACAGATGGTTGCTAAACTCACAAGGCACTACTCGTGGTGAGTCTCGCTGCGTGGTTCTGTCTCTCCACCCACATGTGATTCAAGTGCCGGCAGTGCAGTGCAGCGCACGCTCATCCACCTGCTCAGGCACCTTCTCACAACCACTGCGCCTTCTCTTTTTCATCTGCCCTCATCCCCATCTGCTCTCCGCACCCTCCCCCAATCCACCGCACAGGTAAGAGCAGTGTACATAGCACGGCGCCTGCCGCTGCAACGACAGCCCTTCACAGCTCTCTTTGAACCCGCGGCTTTTCCTTTTTGTCCGCTTTTCCCCGCTTTCCCTGCCTCTACCCACCCGTAATCCATGCAGGTACGCCCTGAGAGCAGTGTACATAGCGCGGGGCCTACCGTTGCTTCCACAGCCCTTCACGGCTCTCTTTAATGACTCTGCCTCGTCAGCTCTAGATGCTTTCTTTGACCCCTCACAGGGGCACATCGCCCTCGCCACCGCCACCACCAGAGGTACGTATGGTGAAGCCTTTGAAAAGTACTGCCTGCCTTGGGGGTGTGGCTGTGGGTGAGTGGGGGGAAGGGGGGGGTGGTCTTGAAGGATACAATTGCACTTACAGGTCCTGGTTACTGCGACTGGAGGTGAGGTGTGAATCTAGATTCTACAGTGTACATGGTGACTCACATGGCTGGTACAGCTCAGACATCCACCAGCACAACGCTTCACTGCTCTTGATGTGTGCTCCAACCCCTGTGTCATGCCTGGTTTTCCTTCACCATTCCACTCACCCATCCGTCCCCCTTACAGGAATTTTTGATATTCTCCGCAAGGTGGTGAGGAGGCGAGATGCCGGCGGTGGTGGCAGCGCGTTTGGCATCTCACCCACTCTCTTCCTGGGAGACGTGGAATCCACAGTGAGTACAGCCTTGAGACTAATAGCGAGTACAGTCTCACCCTTTTTAGTTCAGGTGTGCTTGGCATGGCATCTCACCCACGCTCTTCCTGGGAGACGTGGAGTCCACAGTGAGTACAGTGCAACTTGATGATCATAGTGAGTAGCGCAACATGTCTATAGTGGGTACAGCATAATTTTTTCTTTAGTTCAAATCTGCTCCTTTGGCAGGCTTTTCCGCATTGCCAGTTCCTGGTCTCTCGGCCTCCTCTCTCTTCCCCTCCATCCGTCCCATCAGGTGCGCGAGGCGGGCACGGGAGTGGTGCATGCAATGGTATCAGAGCTTTCAGACTCCATGATGCGAGGGGTGGAGAGCGGTGGCCTGCCTGGGCTGGTGAGTCAAGTCTTTTCTCTCCCATCCTATGCGATCCATCTCACGTATCCCATTTCACCCCACCCCACCGCAACCCATCATATCGCATCAATCCTGTCTATCACCATGATCTTCATCGTGCCCCTCTAAATACTGCCACGGAGCCAAACAAACCATGCTCCCTCCCCTCCTCCACCCTTTTGCTGCACTTTCATTGCGTTAACCAATTCCTTCTCCTACCGTTTTCCATCCCATTCACCAGGCGAAGGGCTTCCATCGAGCCATCCTCTGCATTGCCATGGAGCCAGGCACCATGCTCGCGCTGCTCCTCCATCCCGTCACCGTGCTTTTATTGCGTTAACCAATCACTTCTCATGCAATGCCCCATCCCATCCCATCCCATCCCATCCCATCCCACCCCACCATCAGGCCAAGGGCTTCCATCGAGCCATTCTCCGCATCGCCATGGAGCCAGATACCATGCTCGCTCCCCTCCTGCACCCCTTCGCTCCTGGCTTCACTGCTGCTCTCTCTACTTCCTCCTCCTCCTCCTCCACTCGCCGTCGCTTCCTCTCCACCACTCGCATTCACCTGCGCACCAGCCTGGGCTTGCACGAGGTAGGCCTCCTAGGCTTCAGGTCAGGGATTAGGGTACAGAGTTTAGGGTGTTTGTTGCGGTTTGTGCATCAACAATCCTTGTGTTTATCTGTCCACTCGACGCCACTGCCTCTCCACCACACGCATTCACCTGCGCACGAGCCTGGGCTTGCACGAGGTAGGCCTCCTAGGCTTCATTGCTCTCCTCTGCACTGCATCCCTAGGTTAAAGTTCAAGGTTTTGGGCTTCACAACCGGTTTTTGAGAATTCTAAAAAACCAGCATTCACCTGCGCACGAGCCTGGGCTTGCACGAGGTAGGCCTCCTAGGCTTCATTGCTCTCCTCTGCACTGCATCCCTAGGTTAAATTTCAAGGTTTTGGGCTTCACAACCGGTTTTTGAGAATTCTAAAAAACCAGCATTCACCTGCGCACGAGCCTGGGCTTGCACGAGGTAGGCCTCCTAGGCTTCATTGCTCTCCTCTGCACTGCATCCCTAGGTTAAAGTTCAAGGTTTTGGGCTTCACAACCGGTTTTTGAGAATTCTCAAAAACCAACATTCATCTGCGCACGAGCCTGGGCTTGCACGAGGTAGGCCTCCTAGGCTTCATTGCTCTCCTCTGCACTGCATCCCTAGGTTAAAGTTCAAGGTTTTGGGCTTCACAACCGGTTTTTGAGAATTCTCAAAAACCAGCATTCACCTGCGCACGAGCCTGGGCTCGCACGAGGTAGGCCTCCTAGGCTTCATTGCTCTCCTCTGCACTGCATCCCTAGGTTAAAGTTCAAGGTTTTGGGCTTCACAACCGGTTTTTGAGAATTCTCAAAAACCAGCATTCACCTGCGCACGAGCCTGGGCACGAGGTAGGCCTCCTAGGCTTCATTGCTCTCCTTCTCTGCACTGCATCCCTAGGTTAAAGTTCAAGGTTTTGGGCTTCACAACCCGCTCTTTCCGTTCTTCCTCCTACTCCCCATCCTCTCGCCGCCAATTCCTCTTTAATTCTCTCAACCTTGCACAAGCATACGTGTAGGGTGCCATAGAAGCCATGCAGGACACACTTTTCTCGCTAAGTCCCGTCGCTAGCCCTTTCCTTTTGCGCTTGCCATACACACACTTAACGTTCGGATCTCTCCTTTTCCCCAGGCATACGTGGAGGGATACCTACAAGCCATGCTGGATACGCTATATCGCACTCAATCGCACTTAACCGCACCTTAACCATGCCCCTTTTCACACACCAGGCATACGTGGAGGGCTATTTGCAAGCCATGCTCGACACGCTATATCGCCAGCCCTATGTGACTGTCAAAATCGCCAACGACACTGTAAGCTGAACTCTTGCTCTAGACACCTCAAAAATAGATACAGTGTGTTCCCTCTCTTGCTGTAGGGGTCTTACAGTGACAAATCCAGGCTTGCAATGTAATCGCATAGCATGTCCTCTCACTCTTTAGAAACGCACCTGCTAAGGAGTCTCACCATGCTTCATGCTCCCTTGTATCGCCCCAACACTGCTGGTCATCCCCCTCCCACTCTTCCTCCGCCCCCTCCAATCCCTCTTCTCCAGGTCGTTCTCAAGAACCTTCCCCCTCAAACAACACTCACCAACGAATTGGTCCCTTCTGCTTCTTCCTCCTCCTGCTCCCTCTCCCTTCACCTCCAATCCCTCCTCTCCAGGTCGTTCTCAAGAACCTACCACCCAACACGTTGCTGACCAATGAGATGGTGACATGTGTCACGGATTTCCTGGTCACAGAAGGGCTGCTGGAGCCTGAGAGAGGCGGCGGCAGGGATGGAGGGAGGGGGGGAAGGGGAAGGATGGGGCTTCCTGGTTGTGGTGCTGGTACTGGTGCTGCTGCTGCTGGTGGGGCCGGCGAGGTGTCTGCTTTCCGGTCGCTGCGGCGCATTCATGGGGAGCAGATGGTGAGTTCTTTCATCCGAGCCAGTCTTGAGACATCTCAAAACAGCTTTTTGCTTTCCGAATCGCTGCGGCGCATACATGGAGAGCAGATGGTGAGTTCTCACTTGCTGCTAGGGCAGCTCGCAGTCACTCTTTTCATCCGCACACTCCAACACCAGACGGGGTAGCAGCTACCCAATGTGAACCCGCACTGCCCGCACCCTTTTTCCTGCCCTTCTTCTCCCCGTCCTACAGGGCCACCACAAGGCGCGGGTGGCAGTGTGGGCTCTCTTTACAGTCACTATTTTCATCAGCACACTCCAACACGACTGGGTAGCAGCAACCATAGTTGGATAGGCCATGCCAATATGAACCTGCACTGCCCACTCCCCGATTCCTGCCCTTCTTCTCCCCGTCCCAGGGCCCTCACAATGCGCGGGTGGCAGTGTGGGCGCTGCTAGAGCAGGTTGCTGTCAACGTAATTATCCGCACACTCCTTGCCCATTCTTACCCGCCCAATTCCTCCCCATTTCCTTTCCTTTCTTTTCCCCTGTCCCAGGGCCCCCATAACGCGCGGGTGGCAGTGTGGGCGCTGCTAGAGCAGCTAGCAGTCACTCTTCTCATCTGCACCCTCCTTGCCCATTCTTTCCCTCCCAATTCCTCCCCATTCCCTTTCCTTTCCTTTCTTTTCCCTGTCCCAGGGCCCCCATAACGCGCGAGTGGCAGTATGGGCACTGCTAGAGCAGCTAGCAGTCACTCTTCTCATCCGCACCCTTCTTGCCCATTCTTACCCACCCAATTCCTCCCCATTTCCTTTCCATTCCTTTCTTCTCCCTGTCCCAGGGGCCCCACAATGCGCGGGTGGCAGTGTGGGCGCTGCTAGAGCAGCTAGCAGTCACTCTTCTCATCCGCACGCTTAGACATCAAACTGCCAGGTGGCTGCGCGTCAAGCCGCCACCTGGCACTCAGGCAGACGAAGGGGCAGCACTAACCCCTCCTGCTACAGCCGCTGCTACTGCCGCTGCTACAGGAGACAGTAGAGGGGAGGAAGGGCAAGGGGAAGGGAGGGCTGGTGGGGGAGCGAGGGAGAGCGTGGGAGGAGGAAGGGCGGGGGGGAGGGTGCGAGCGGCGGTGAGTCATGTGGTGGTGGCGAGTGTTGTGGCATATGTGGATGGCCGGCTGTGTCGCCACATCCCCAATGCGTTCCTCAGACGAGTTGTGAGCGGCTTCCTGCTCAGCTTTGTGGACCTCTGAGCTGGTACCAGTAGTCTTGATTGACTTTAGAGTGCGTGCCAAGGCATGAAGTACATGTACCGTATTACATCTTACAAGAACATTCACTCACCTTCATGACCTTTTCGGAATGCGGGACCTCCTCATTCAGCAAAACCATTCAATTCAACTACCGATAAACCCTTTGACTACCGTCATCGCCCGGATATAAGACATATATGTCTTATCTCGTACACTAGAAAAAATGCTTGGGTTATCTTATAAATGGGGAGGTTTTGGGTGTCTAAGTCTTATAAATGGAGCCATAACCATTTAGAAGATACCCCCTCGTTATACAATTGCCCCTAATCCTTACACTAGCTTAGCTCGTACACACAAATAGGTGTCTTATAATGAGGCTAGCCTGTTTATAAGAGACACCCGTATAATAGACAACCCCTGTCTACTATTCAACACTGTCTTATATCCGGGTGATGACGGTAGGTGTTACTCGTGTATTACTACGGTAAAGGTAGTGTACAACAAAATACAAGTGCGATGCGCCATCCATAAGATATAGTTTAAGGTAGTGGCTATAGTGACGTTCACTCGCAAACCCACAATCCACTACAAAAATATCAACCCGTATCTACACAACTACTGGTAGCGGTAAGAGTTTGAAGTCCTCAAAGTCTGAATCACAGCCGCAACCTTATCCCATTCGCTTCCGTCCACACATGCAGATCAAGATTCCTCAATAAAGCCCGAGTCTGACAAGTAGCCGCAGCAGCGGTGGGTTTTATAGGATCCTCAAAGATCACAAGCACAGCCTTTTCCCCTTAACTTCCTGTCGCAAATGCAGATCTAGATTCCTCAATAGCGCCCGGGCCAGCATCCTCACCATCGGAGGACACGTAGCGGAAGCAGCGGAGGGTTTCGAGAATCCTTAAAGATCATAAGAGCAGCCTTTTCTCCTTGGATTCTATCCGCGCATGCAGTTCAAGATTCTTCGATAAAACCCGAGCCAGCATCCTGACCATCGGAGGACACGTAGAGGCAGCAGCGGTGGCGCGAATTGTGCGAGAAGCTCCAGTGTCGGAGAGGAGGTTGATGTGGTGGGCGGTATGGCGGGCGTGCGGCATGGTGAGCTGCATGAGAGCAGTGGCAGAAGCAGCGGTGGGTTTCGAGAACCTCAAATATCACAAGCGCAGCCTTTTCCCCTTAGCTTCCTGTCGCAAATGCAGATCTAGATTCCTCAATAGCGCCCGATGTCAAAATAGTAGGCACAAGTAGGAGCCATAGCTAGGTAAACCCTAGCTAGGCAAGAGAGAAACGAGCAAAGGAGGGTTTGCACTAGCAAGAATGGGGATACAAATAGCAAACCCTAGAAGGGTTGTACTCGCTATAGAGCACCCCACTACAGGCTAGAACATAATATTCTGACACACCCCCATAGCCAAAGTGGGGTGTAATCAGCAGAGCAAGCAAAGCAGTACAAGTTCAAGAAGCAATAGTTTAAAGTTCACAATTATGAGCAAAGCTAGAGGTAGTCACAGAGGGCAAGTGAGGAGGAGGAGGGCTGGCGAGGGGAGAGAGGAGTGGAGGCGACGACTGAAGCTGCAGACACACGGGCAACAGACGGCTCTGGTGCAGCTCTAGTGGCTACCGGGAGCAAGGGCCCCGGAATACAGGAGTAACAGGCTCTGCGTCTGATCAGCAGCGACAGGAGCAACGGACCCACGGGCGACAGGTGCAACCGGCTCTCTGAGCTACCGGTGGCTATCAGAACCCCGGAATACAGGCGCTGCAGACGACACGACGGCTGCCTCCACCCAACCTCCTCCAACTGTCCCACACCAGGGTTTGTACGGCCTGCGCCAGGCCCGTACGGGCCTGTACGGGCCTGGCGTAGGCCGTAGCGGGCCTGGCGCAGGCCGTACGGGCAACAGACGGCTGGCCGTAGCGGGCCTGGCGCAGCCCGTACGGGCCGCGCGCGGGTCCCAGGGGCGCTTCGACGGGCGACGGGGGCGTTTCGACGGGCGACGGGGGGCGCTCCGACGGGCGACGGGGGCGCTTCGACGGGCGACGGGGGGGAGCGCTTCGACGGGCGACGGGGGGCGCTTCGACGGTGGGAAACCGCCGCGCGCCTCGGGGCGCACAGCGGGCAGAAAACCGCCGCGCGCCCCGAGCGCGCGGCGGGAAGAAAAAAAACGAACATCGCGCGCCACGGGACGCGCGACACACAGGAAGGCAGCGGAAGCAGGCGGGCCCACAGGCCAGGAGCGTAACCGCTCTGATAGCATGTCAAAATAGTAGGCACAAGTAGGAGCCATAGCTAGGTAAACCCTAGCTAGGCAAGAGAGAAACGAGCAAAGGAGGGTTTGCACTAGCAAGAATGGGGATACAAATAGCAAACCCTAGAAGGGTTGTACTCGCTATAGAGCACCCCACTACAGGCTAGAACATAATATTCTGACACCCGAGCCAGCAGCCTGACCATCGGAGGGTACGTAGCGGCTGCAGCGGTGGCGCGAATTGTGCTAGAAGTGTGAAAGATGCGAATTGAACAAGTGATCTCATTAGACAGCAAACCTAGCATACATAGTTTGGGAAGAGAAGCTTGGAAGGGAAGGAGGAACCCAACCTATGGTTGGGTTGGCCTCACTTTGGGAAGTGAGGTAACCATAGGTGGGGTGGGTTGGGTTGCCCACACTTCTAAGAAGTGTGGCAACCCTAGGCCCACTTGGCTTGTGGTGGCCTCAATTGTGAAGTGAGGTACCCAAAAGTCAAGAGGGTTGCAATTTGGGGGCTCCACCACAATTGGGTGGATTGGCACCCCAAAGTGCAAGGCTACACCCAATGTTGGGTGTAGTCCCAACCCAACTGTACACCACAATTGGTGTACAGTCACATGTGCTTAGCATGCTACAATGTATAATTCTAACACAACCCCTTAGCATGCTAACACAAGGAGGGAACAACCCCTGAATCAAGGGGCGCCCGGGCGAGCGAGGCCGATGAGGCGGAGGAAAGCGGAGTGCGCAGGGCGAAGGAGGGCCTTGGTGAAAATGTCGGCCAAGTTGGCCTCGGTCGCAATTTTGCGAACGGCAATGAGACCCTTCTGGACAAGCTCGCGAATGAAGAAATAGCGAAGTTCGATGTGCTTGGAGCGGGCATGATAGACAGGGTCCTCAGTGAGATGGATGGTGCTGGCATTGTCGCACCAGAGAGTGGGGCACGTCTGGGGAGCGCCAAGCTCGGCAAGGAGGAAGCAGAGCCAGCGGGACTCCTGAGCGGCCATGGTGCCGGCGTAGAGCTCGGCCTCGCAGGTGGAGAGAGAGATGAAGGAGGAGCGGGTAGAGCGCCAGCTGATGAGGCCGCTGCCAAGGGTGAAGCCGTAGCCCTGGGAGGAGCGGCGGTCCGGCTGCGTGTCGGCCCAGGAGGAGTCGCTGAAGCCCGAGAGAAGAGGAGGGGAAGAACCGCCAAGGGTGAGGGCAAGGTCCTTGGTCCCTCGAAGGTAGCGGAGGACCCGCTTGGCCGCCTTCCAGTGCTCCTCACTGTGGCGGCCGGTGCCGACGAAGCGAGCGAGCACGCTGATGGGATAGGCGAGGTCGGGGCGGGTGCACATCATCGCGTACATCAGGGACCCAACGAGCTCGGCATAGGGGTGAGGGGAGGAGGTGGGAGAGGTGGGTGGGGCGAGTTGGTGGCCGAAGGGGAGGGGGGTGGAGATGGGCTTGGCCTGCGTCATGTTGAACTTCTCCAAGACCTGGCCGATGTAGTGGGACTGGGAGAGGGTGATGGTGCGAGCAGAGCGGTCACGAGTGATAGCCATGCCCAGGTAGTGGGTGAGGGCTCCAAGATCTTTGCACTTGAGACGCTGCTGCAGGGACTGCTTCATCTGCTCCATGTCGGCCTTCGTGTCAGAAAGCAGGACCATGTCGTCCACGTACACCAGGATGAAGAAGCGGCGGGGGGAGGAGCGGATGAAGAGGCTGGCGTCGGAGTGGGAGGGAGAGAAGCCGAGTGACCCTAAGGTGGCAGCCAGCTTTGCATGCCACTCGCGCGGCGCCTGCTTCAAGCCGTAGACAGGGCGACGTAGTTGCCAGACAGTGTTCTCAGGGAAGGCTGCGTGGAACCCGGGTGGCCGGCGGAGGAAGATGCGATCATGCAGGTCGCCCTGCAGGAACGCATTGGAGACGTCCATGCAGTCGATCTCCATGTTATCACGCGCACCAACGTCGAGGGTTGCGCGAAGGGTGGGGGGTTTGGCGGTGGGGGCGTAAGTGAACCAGAAGTCCTCCCCATGTGTCTGTGTAAAGCCCTTGGCGCAGTAGCGGGCCTTGTAGACGGGTTCCTCGTCTGGCAGCTGCTTCACCCGAAAGACCCACTTGCCCTCGACAAGATTGGCATCGTCAGGGAGGGGGACGTCGACGAAGGAGTCGTTGCGGATAAACGCCTCGCACTCCTGGAAGATAGCTGCGATCCACTTGTCCGCGTCAGGGCATGTGATGGCCTCTTGGAAGGTGGAGGGAGTGAAGATGGTGGGGGTGGAGGTGGCGCCGAGGACGGGGAAGCCAAGGAAGTCAAGAAAGAGGGCGGCTATGAATGGAGTGTGCTGCTGGATGGTGAGGAACTCCTCGTGAGAGTCCTCAAGGAGTTGCAGGGAAGGAGGAGGAGGGGACCCAAGGATGGGATCCAGAGAACGGGTGTGCATGCGGGGAAGGAGAAAGGGGGAGGAGCGGGAGGTGGCGCGCTGACGCTGCGGATGATGGGGTTGCTGCCCCTGCTGAGGCCGCTGCTGCTGCTGCTGCTGCTGCTGCTGCTGCTGCTGCTGCTGCTGCTGCTGCTGCTGCTACTGCTGCTGCTGCTGCTGCTGCTGCTGCTGTCGCTGCTGCCGCTGTCGCTGCTGCCGCTGTCGCTGCTGCCGCTGTCGCTGCTGCCGTTGCTGCTGCTGCTGCTGCTGCTGCCGTTGCTGCTGCTGCTGCTGCTGCTGCTGCTGCTGCTGCTGCTGCTGCTGCTGCTGCTGCTGCTGCTGCTGCTGCTGCTGCTGCTGCTGCTGCTGCTGCTGCTGCTGCTGCTGCTGCTGCTGCTGCTGCTGCTGCTGCTGCTGCTGCTGCTGCTGCTGCTGCTGCTGCTGCTGCTGCTGCTGCTGCTGCTGCTGCTGCTGCTGCTGCTGCTGCTGCTGCTGCTGCTGCTGCTGCTGCTGCTGCTGCTGCTGCTGCTGCTGCTGCTGCTGCTGCTGCTGCTGCTGCTGCTGCTGCTGCTGCTGCTGCTGCTGCTGCTGCTGCTGCTGCTGCTGCTGCTGCTGCTGCTGCTGCTGCTGCTGCTGCTGCTGCTGCTGCTGCTGCTGCTGCTGCTGCTGCTGCTGCTGCTGCTGCTGCTGCTGCTGCTGCTGCTGCTGCTGCTGCTGCTGCTGCTGCTGCTGCTGCTGCTGCTGCTGCTGCTGCTGCTGCTGCTGCTGCTGCTGCTGCTGCTGCTGCTGCTGCTGCTGCTGCTGCTGCTGCTGCTGCTGCTGCTGCTGCTGCTGCTGCTGCTGCTGCTGCTGCTGCTGCTGCTGCTGCTGCTGCTGCTGCTGCTGCTGCTGCTGCTGCTGCTGCTGCTGCTGCTGCTGCTGCTGCTGCTGCTGCTGCTGCCCCGGCTGCTGCTGCTGGTCCGGCTGCTGCTGCTGCTGCGGAAGGGCGGGAGAGTGATGGGAGGAGGGAGGGGAGGGAGGGGGTGCAGCTGAGTGGGCGGGAGAGGCAGGTGCAGCGGGGTTGTAGACGTCGGCAGAGGAGGGAGGCGGGAGTGGAGCGGCGACAGGTGGAGGAGGGGAGCGGGGGGAAGGAGAGGCGGGAGGACGGTATCGGTCCAGGCGAGAGGGCGAGTAGGAGAAGGGAGAGGGTCAGGGGGAGGAGTGGAGTAATAGGGGACGGACTCGTCGAAGACGACGTCGCTGCTGCGGATGAGGCGATTGGTAGGAGGGTGGAGGAAGAGGTAGCCTGGGGAGTCGCGGTTGTGCCCAAGGTAGACACATTCCAGGGCACGGGGAGCAAGTTTGCCAGCGGCGCGGGAGCGATCGGCGGGTGGAATGAGAACGTAGGCCTTGCAACCCCAGACTCGAAGGCCGGCAGCGTCAGGTTTGGTGTTGGACCAAAGCTCTGTGGGGGAGGAAGAAGGGTGCTGAGGGTGGGAGCGGAGATTAAGGAGAAGGGCGGCGTGGAGGAGGGCATAGCTCCAGAGGGAAGGCGGGGTGGAGGCATGAGCAATGAGACAGCGAGCTATCTTGGTGATCTCACGAATGCGGCTCTCGGCAATGCCGTTCTGCTGAGGGGAGTGGGGAAGAGTGGAGGTCTGTTGGATGCCGTAGGTTTTGCAGTATGTGGCGAGAGTGTTATTGATGAACTCACCCCCACCGTCAGAGTGAAGGCGGCCAATGGGGCGTTTGAAGTGATTGCGGCACAGCTCGGCCCAGTTGATGACCACTGCCGGCACCTGGTCTTTCGTGTGAAGAAAGAAGGTGGTGGAGTACCGGCTGTGGTCGTCAACGAGGACGAGCATGTACCGGTGCCCCTGGCGGGAGCGGATGGGATAGGGGCCCCAGAGGTCCATGTGGACAAGGTCGATGGGGGCGGCGGCGAAGGTGGGATGACTGTGGTGGGGTGACTGCTTGAGCTTGCCGTGAATGCATGAAGGGCATGGGGGAGAGGGGGAGGAGGGAAGTGGGGGTAAGACGGGAGGAAGGCTGCGGAGGAGGCGGGAGGTGACTGTGGTGCGAAGGGCGGTGAAGTTGGGATGGCCGAGTCTGTGGTGTAAGAGAACGGCAGGGTGCGAGAGGGTAGTGGAGGAGGAGGGAGATGGGGTGATGGAGGGGACGGGAGGGGAGGAGGAGGATGGCGGGGAGGGAGAGGATACCTGAGGGGGAGGGGAGGGGGGAAGTAAAGGAGGGGGAGGTGGACCGGTGGAAGTACCAGCACGGGTGGTGACGTGGCAGTAGGATGGGCGAGGTGTGCGGAGAGTGTAGAGGCGAGTGCGAGGGCAGAGTGGGATGCGGAGGAGGAAGCGGCCAGAGGAAGTTTGGTAGAGGTCACAGTAATTGGCATAACCAGGGTAGATGGCAGTGATACCAACACCTTGGAGCTCACGGTGGGAGATGAGGTTGTTGCGGAGAGTGAGGATGTGGAGGCCTGTGACTTTACCGGAGGGGAAGGCAGTGCAGGGGAGGGTGGAGAGATGAGTGCAAGGGATGGAAAAACTGGAATCAGCTCCATGAACCTGAGTGGGAAGTGGAAAAGGGGTGAGAGTACCTGCGTCTTTTAGTGCGGCTTCAGTGGCCCCACTATCGAGGACGAAGTCCAGGGTGGGGGAAGAAGGAGGAGGAGGTGACACGGGGTACTGGAAAGAAGTTTCATTGATAGCAGAGGGATACATGGAAGCGACGGATGGTGCAATACTGACATTACCAAGGAAACTCCCCGAAGTGTCGGGGACACTTGGGGGGGCAGAGGGGAGGGAACCCCAGGGAGGGGGGGGAGCAAGGGAGGCATGGGCGGCCGTAGCCGCCGTGCCGAAGGTCAGTGGCTGCTGCTGCCAGTACGGGGGAAGGAACTGCTGCTGCTGCTGCGGCGGCGGTTGGAAGAAATGCGGCGGCGGCGGCTGCTGCGGCTGGAGAAACTGCGGCTGCTGCTGCTGCTGCTGGAAGTACTGATGCTGCTGCTGCTGGTGCTGCTGAAATTGCTGCAGCTGGGAAGGCTGGGAGGGGCTAACCAGGCGGAGGTGAGCAGGAAGGAAAGATGGGAGGGTTTGAACATCCACCAGGGAGGGGCGAGGGGTGACAGTGTTCCAGCGAGGAGGGGTGCCAGTGTTACCTCGGTCAAACCAGGCGTCGTCGAGCGCCTTGAAGCACGTGCTGGGGGGATGGTTGGTTTGGCCGCAAGGGGTACCAGCATGGGGACCATGGCGGCGCACATACGTGCATGGGGGGAGAGTGCCAGGGCGAGCGCCTCGAGTCACAGCACCACTAGCACCGGACGGTCCTCCAGTAGAGGTACTGCTAGCACCACCACCACCTCCGCCACGGCCACCACGGCTACCGCCACCACCACCACTACCGCCACGACCTCCACCACCACCACCCGCTCCACGGCCTCCACCGCCGCCGCTGCGACCACCCTGGTTGCGCGGTTGCGTAGCATTGAGGGAGCTGGAGGAGGAGGGCTGAGGGGTGGTGAGGTTGACAACGGGGGTGCGGAGCTTGACCTCCGTGTCGATGATCCATTGGACCACGTCGTTGAGGCCGGCCATGGCGTTCGCTTCAGTGAAGGCATGGAGGCGGGACTCGTAGTCCGGGGTGAGGTTGTAGAGGAGGCGGTGGATTTGCAGTGGCTCGGGGAGGGCAGCTTGGCGTGCAGCAAGGCGGTCAGCGACCTCCTGCATGCGCCCCACGTAGTCAACTGCGCCGTCACAGGTAGCGAGGGTGATGGAGAAGTACTCCTGGAACAGGGCGCCGACAGAGCTGATGTCGCGGCGCTCGAACATTGCCTGGAGCTCGGCCCAGATGAGGGAGGCGCGCATCTCCCGAGCCTGGAAACGGCGCATGAGGGTATCAGGGAGTGCGCCGAGGAGGATGGTGCAGGCGCGGTTGTCAGCAGCGGCCCATGCAATGCTCTTGGGGAGGTAGTCTGTCATGGCCGTGTTGTATTCATCGAGGAGGGCCAGGCGGTTGGCGCGTTCCGCTACTGCGAAGTCGTGATGGTGGACTGCGACCTCGTGCTCTGCCTTGCGGATGAGGTACTCGCGGCGGTCATGGAGGAAGGTGGCATCGGCGGCACTCTGGAGCGCTGGGGTAGTGGCGATCTCCAAGGTGGGTTCAGAAGGAGGAGGGCCTGGAGGATCGGGGGGTGGAGGGGGTTCGCCGGGGTGACTGGGTGCCGTGGGCTGGAGAGCTTGCGGGCGGCGGAGGAGGACGTCGAGGACGCAGTAGGGTCCGACGAATGCGTCCTGAAGAACGCGGCGGATGCTCCCGACGAAGGAGTGCCAATTGATCGCCGAGCGGTCCGCGGCAAGTTGGAGCTTGTCGACGGAGGAGGCGTCAATGGGAGGGGAAGAGGGGGGAGGAGTGGTATCCATGAGGGGCGACGGCGGGTGGACCCGCGGCGGCCTCGAGGGGGACGACGGCGGGTGGACCCGCGGCGGTCAAGGAGGAGGGCGACGGCGTGTGGACCCGCGGCGGCCAACAGGGGGGGGGGAGGGGGGAGGTGCTGCTGCAGGAGGATGGAGCTCTGCTCCGGCTGCTGTTGCTGCTGCCTCTGGTGTGCCGCTGCTGCCGCTGCTGCCGCTGCTGCCGCTGCTGCCGCTGCTGCCGCTGCTGCCGCTGCTGCCGCTGCTGTGGAGGGGAGGGGAGAAGGGGAAGGGGGAGGAAGTGGGCGCCGCGGCGGGAGGCGCAGGCGGCGACGGTGTGAGAGAGGCGACGACGAGGGGAGGAGGCGGCAGCGGTGGAAGCGGCCGCGGGGACGAGGGGAGGAGGCGGCGGCGGGGGGAGTGGCCGCGGCGGCGGAAGTGGCCGCGGCGGCAAAGGGAGGGGGGGCGGCGGCGTCGGAATCGGCCGCGGCGGCGAAGGGAGGAGGCGGCGGCGGCGGAATCGGCCGAGGCGGCGAAGGGAGGAGGCGGCGGCGGCGGAATCGGCCGCGGCGGCGAAGGGAGGAGGCGGCGGCGGCGGAATCGGCCGCGGCGGCGAGGGGAGGAGGCGGCGGCGGCGGAATCGGCCGCGGCGGCGAGGGGAGGAGGCGGCGGCGGCGGAATCGGCCGCGGCGGCGAGGGGAGGAGGCGGCGGCGGCGGAATCGGCCGCGGCGGCGAGGGGAGGAGGCGGCGGCGGCGGAATCGGCCGCGGCGGCGAGGGGAGGAGGCGGCGGCGGCGGAATCGGCCGCGGCGGCGACGGGAGGAGGCGGCGGCGGCGGAATCGGCCGCGGCGGCGACGGGAGGAGGCGGCGGCGGCGGAATCGGCCGCGGCGGCGAAGGGAGGAGGCGGCGGCGGCGGAAACGGCCGCGGCGGCGAAGGGAGGAGGCGGCGGCGGCGGAAACGGCCGCGGCGGCGAAGGGAGGAGGCGGCGGCGGCGGAATCGGCCGCGGCGGCGAAGGGAGGAGGCGGCGGCGGCGGAATCGGCCGCGGCGGCGATGGGAGGAGGCGGCGGCGGCGGAATCGGCCGCGGCGGCGAGGGGAGGAGGCGGCGGCGGCGGAATCGGCCGCAGCGGCGAGGGGAGGAGGCGGCGGCGGCGGAATCGGCCGCCGCGGCGAGGGGAGGAGGCGGCGGCGGCGGAATCGGCCGCCGCGGCGAAGGGAGGAGGCGGCGGCGGCGGAATCGGCCGCGGCGGCGAAGGGAGGAGGCGGCGGCGGCGGAATCGGCCGCGGCGGCGACGGGAGGAGGCGGCGGCGGCGGAATCGGCCGCGGCGGCGACGGGAGGAGGCGGCGGCGGCGGAATCGGCCGCGGCGGCGACGGGAGGAGGCGGCGGCGGCGGAATCGGCCGCGGCGGCGACGGGAGGAGGCGGCGGCGACGGAACGGCCGCGACGGAGAGGGGAGGAGGCGGCGGCGGCGGAATCGGCCGCGGCGGCGAGGGGAGGAGGCGGCGGCGGCGGAATCGGCCGCGGCGGCGAGAGGAGGAGGCGGCGGCGGCGGAAATGGCCGCGGCGACGAGGGGAGGAGGCGGCGGCGGCGGAAGTGGCTACGGCGACGAGGGGAGGAGGCGGCGGCGGCGAAATGGCCACGGCGGCAAGGGGAGGAGACGGGTCGGCGGGATGGCCGCGACGGCTAGGGGAGGAGGCGGCGATGCGCTTGCTAGAGTATGCTAGGTCGAGCTAAATGTAGGAAGGAAATTGTGGCTGTGGGGTGGGCCCATAGGAAAAAAAAACTTGAGGGAGGGAGAGTTAAGGTTTGAGGAACAACTAGCTCTATACCATGTGAAAGATGTGAATTGAACAAGTGATCTCATTAATTGGGTGGATTGGCACCCCAAAGTGCAAGGCTACACCCAATGTTGGGTGTAGTCCCAACCCAACTGTACACCACAATTGGTGTACAGTCACATGTGCTTAGCATGCTACAATGTATAATTCTAACAAGAAGCTCCGGTGTCGGAGAGGAGGTTGATGTGGTGGGCGGTATGGCGGGCGTGCGGCATGGTGAGTTGCATGAGAGCAGTGGCAGAAGCAGCGGTGGGTTTCGAGAACCTCAAATATCACAAGCGCAGCCTTTTCCCCTTAGCTTCCTGTCGCAAATGCAGATCTAGATTCCTCAATAGCGCCCGAGCCAGCAGCCTGACCATCGGAGGACACGTAGCGGCAGCAGCAGTGGCGCGAATGGTACGGGCAGCTCCGGTGTCAGAGAGGAGGTTGATGTGGTGGCCGGAGTGGCGGGCGTCGGGCATGGTTAGTTGCATGAGGGCAAAGGCTGCACAGGCGCGCAGGGAGGTGGAGGGGCTTCGCAGCATGGCGACAAAACGAGCGATCTCGGCCGCACTGTGGGAAGCGGGGGGTGGGGAAGAGGAGGGCGGGTGGGGAGTGGGGAAGAGGAAGGCGGGCATGGTGAGTTGCATGAGGACAAAGGCTGCACAGGCGCGCAGGGAGGTGGTGGGGCTTCGCAGCATGGCTACAAACCGAGCGATCTCCGCCGTACTGAGAGGAGGGGGGGTGAGGTAGGGGAAATCAATGAAAAGGGAAGGGAAGATGAAGTAGTGAAGAAAATGTCTGAGAAGCAGCGAGCTCGCAAGATAAGGCGAGGAACCAAGCAAATTGCATTGCAGCCTGTTAACGTTGAGGCACGAAGCATTACGGCACGTTTCTGCCCACACCACAACACTCACTTGCATCTGAGCAGCCCTGCCTCCTGAATGCGACAGCTCTGGGAGAATTCCATTATCGCGGCATCATCTGCTGCTGCCAGCCGTGCTCCCAGGTGCCGCGTGAACCCCGCCGACATGGGCGGCGGCAAATCCCCTGACCCAGCACCTGAAGAAACACCTGAAGCGCCAGCATGGCCGTTCCGAGCCGCAGAGCCAGGTGTGGCCGAGCCTGTAGCTCTTCCACCCCGCGCCGAACCATCCTCTTCCTCATCAGAGTCTAATTCAATTGTTCTTCTCCCGCGCCCTCTCCCTCGCCCCCTCCCTGCCCTTCTGCTTCTGGTTGCTGCTGCTGTCCCAGGCAACCCATCCCCCTCATTTTCCTCCGCCTCTTCCTCCCCTTCCTCCTCCTCCAGCGCCGAAGCTCTCCTCTTTCTAGACCCTCCCGCTCTCTGCCTGCTCCCTCTGCTCCAAAACTCCCCTTCCTCCTCTTCCTCCATCGCCCTCCCCCTCTCCCGCTCCCTCTCTCTCACTCTCTCCCTCGCCCGCTCTGCCTCCTCGCGCTCGTGCAGGAAGCATCTGAGAAACCACTCAATGACCTGCAGACCAGTATTCTGCTGCAACTGCAAGGTTAGGGGGTACTCCAGATCAGGCGCTGCTGCTTCTGCCGCTGCCAACATTTCTGCATCTTTGCTGCAAGAAGCGGGGTGAAGAAGGGTCGTTGGGGGGCGGGGAGGGGGGAGGTGAGTTGATGAGCAACGGTAAAGAAGCCTCAAACAGTTGTGCTGCACCTGCAAGGTTAGGGGGTACTCCAGATCAGGCGCTGCTGCTTCTGCTGCTGCCAACATTTCTGCATCTTTGCTGCGAGACAGAAAACGAAGCAAGGTAGGAAGGGAGGTGAGTTACTGAGCAATCTGAGAAGCCACTCAATGACATGCAGACCAAGCTCCTGCTGCAGGTGCAAGGTTAGGGGTTACTCAGGTGCTACTGCTTCTGCCGCTGCAAAAAGCAGGGTGAAGAGCTTATCAGAACCTACCTGCCATTGCACATGTATGCGAGAGCAAGAGAAGCCATGAATCCAGCCATGGGAAAGGAGAGAATACGTCCCAACCCAACCCACGTCGTGTGCTTTCGACTCAGAACCTTCCTGCCATCGCACATGTATGCGAGAGAAAGAGACGCCATGAATCCAGCCATGGGAGACACTTTCCAGCGAGCACCGTCGGCAGGAGAACGAGCAGCAGCAGCCGTAGCAGCAGCAGTAGGTGGGGGTACCGAGGGATCATGTCACACACATAGGTGCTTACCTGCCATCGCACATGTATGCGAGAGAAAGAGACGCCATGAATCCAGCCATGGGAGATGCTTTCCAACGAGCACCGTCGGCAGGAGAAAGAACAGCAGCGGCCGTAGCAGCAGCATCGGCATCGGCAACAGCAGCACGGACAGCAGCAGCTCCAGCACCGGGAGCGTTAAGGGCGGCCGCTGTTGCAGCATCAGCAGCAGCGAGGTTACGATTGTTGGGTAAAACAGGATGGGGAGGGAGCGCGCGGGCAGGGGGAGGAGGAGCGGGCTGCGGCAGTAGCTGATACCAGGCAAAGCCATTAACAGTAGCAACAGCAGCACCGGCACGACCAGCAGCAGAAACACCACCAGCAGCACGACCAGCAGCAGCACCTGGAGCACCAGCACCGGGAGCACCAGCAGGGGTTGATGACGATGGAGAGGTGTGGGCAGTGGTGGTGCTTCTAGGTGTGGTGGCAGAGGAGGGGGAGGTGGGGGCTGAGGAGAAGTGGTCAAGGGCGGAGGGCTGCAGGGAAGCAGCAATGATTGCGCCCATGATGGGCACGCCACTGTTCACGAGAATGCGGGCGGCGTTGCTTGGATGGAAGGCTAGATTCCAAAGCGCGCCAGTGGCAGTCTCTTGGACCTCCTGAGGGAGAAGTGGGGGAGGATGGGAAGGGATGGGGCACGATGGGAGAGAAAGAAGTTGGTCGAAAAACAGTACACTGCACTGCACTGCACTGCACTGCACTGCACCGCACTGCACTGCACTGCACTGCACTGCACTCATAGTTACCCCCACAAGCCCCGCATTCCCACGCTGCACTGCACCCCATACTACCCCCTCGCCCACCCTCAGCAACATCACTGGCTCATCCACTATCCCCTCACCCCATGCTAGCCACTCGCACCTGCTTGCGCGACTGGGCAAGGCTGAGCAAAGTCTCCACCCCACCCGCCCGGCCAATGGCCACACTGCATGGGGGCATGCACAGAGCAGCAACGGGAGGAATCCGAGGGAAAATTAGCTTCATTGGAGCAACATAAGAGAATGCGAGAGCACGATAGGTACTAAGCAAGCAGTGACACACCTGTTGACCTCACCACCCAGCTGCCACGTGCACAGCGAAAGGGCAGGGCACCCACCAGTATTGACTCAATACGTACGCACCTGTTGGCTTCAGTAACAGACAGCCCCATAGGGCACCAGCGGCTCGCTCCTGTGTGTCCTCTTCTGCACCGGGCAAACACGACTCCTGCGCCAGGCGAACCAGCGCCTCCGCCCCCCCTGCTGCTGCAATCGCCTCCCTGTTGCCCTCGTGGAATGATAGATTCCATAGCGCGCCTGCTCCCTCTTGCCTGGGATGTGAACGGGAGGGGTGTGAGAGAGGGGTGGGAGCATGAAGTTGCTGCTCTAGGTTGCTACTGCTGCGATCGCCTCCCTGCTGCCCTCGTGAAATGACAGATTCCATAATGCCCCTGCTCCCTCTTGCCTGGGATGTGATATGGGGGGTGGGGAAGAGGTGAGAGGAAAGAAGGAAACGACCAAAGCTTCCACACCCCCCCCCGCTGCTGCTATCGCCTCCCTGTTGCCGTCGTGGAATGATAGGTTCCAGAGCGCGCCTGCTCCCTCTTGCCTGTGATGTGATATGGGGGGTGGGGAAGAGGTGAGAGGAAAGAAGGAAACGACCAATGCCTCCACCCCCCCAGCTGTTGCTATCGCCTCCATGTTGCCCACCGTATGCTCTCAGTACTGTCACACCCCACCCACCTTAAGCTTTCGTTCGGTGATTGTAACAAAGCAACCAGGGCAGGGATGGCGGACGGTCTGCCCCGACAGCAGCGGAGTTGCGGTTGCAGTCGCCGTGAGCAGCGAGGTTAGCGACTCACAGTCACCTCCCACACCCACCTTAAGCTTTCATTGGACGATTGCAGCAGCGCCACTAATGCAGGGATGGCAGAGGGCTCGGCCCCAACAGCAGCGGAGTTGCGGTTGCAGTCACCGTGTGCAGCGAGGTTAGCGAGGGCCCTGGCGGCCTGCTCGAGCACGAGGTCATGGCGGCACCCCACCAGCACACTCTCCTGTTGCTCTCCTTGTAGACACAGCACACCACACCCACCTTAGGCTTTCATTTGGCGACTGCAGAAGAGCAACCAGCGCAGGGATGGCAGAAGGCTCTGCTCCAACAGCAGCGGAGTTGCGGTTGCAGTCGCCGTGGGCAGCGAGGTTAGCGAGGGCCCTGGCAGCCTGCTCGAGCACGAGGTCATGACGGCACCCCACAAGCACACGCACCAGCGCCGCCACCCCTCCCCTCTCCACTATAGCCGTGCTGCACTCGTCGTCCACTGCTAGATTGGCCAACGCTCCCGTTACCCTCTCCTGTTCACATGGGAGACGGCGGGGAGGAGGGGAAGGAGGGAGTAGGGGGGAAGGGGGGAGGAGAGGGAGGAGGGGAAGGAGGGGGCAGGAAAGTGGAAGGGAGGAGAGGGATCGGAGCACGAGGTCATGGCGGCACCCCACCAGCACACGCCTCCCCTCTCCACTATGGCCGTGCTGCACCCGTCGTCCACCGCTAGGTTTGCCAAGGCGCCCGTTACCCTTTCCTGTTGGTATGGAAAACGGTGGAATATGAGAAGGTAAGGACAATTTTCCCCTAAGTTGGGCAATATGAGAGAAAGGATAAGACTTAGACGAGACAAGGGGCCAAAGCCGAAAGGCAATGTTGCGAGTAATGGAGGGAGAGGAAGGGTTACGAGGGGAGGGAAGGGTCAACGACGATTTGTCAAGAGAAGCAACGACAGAAAGAGAGGAGGAGGACGAAAGGTGAAAAGAACGATTTTTGAGAGAAGAAGGGTCGGACGATAGGAGGAGAGGAGGGTGGGAGGACTCACGAGAACACAGTCCCCTGGGAGGCTGAGAGCAGGGGGAGGAGCAGTGGCCATGAGAGGAGGGGTAGGAAAAGAGAGAGAGGCACGAGGGGAGGAGGGCAGGAAGAGAGAGAGAGGCACGAGGGGAGGAGAGCAGGAAGAGAGAGAGAGGCACGAGGGGAGGAGGGCAGGCAGGCAGGCAGGCAGGCAGGCAGGCAGGCAGGCAGGCAGGCAGGCAGGCAGGCAGGCAGGCAGGCAGGCAGGCAGGCAGGCAGGCAGGCAGGCAGGCAGGCAGGCAGAGAGGAAGAGAGGAGGACTCACGAGGACACAGTCCCCTGGAAGGGGCTCATCACCTCCGCTCATGGACGGAGCAGAAGGAGGAGGAGTGGTGGCCATAAGGTCTACCAGTGTGGTGATGCCTCCTGCTCGCATGATGTACGTCTGAAGGGGTGGGAGAGGGGGGGAAGGGGAGGGGAAAAGAGGATTCTCTTTCTGAGATTTTTTGCTTTGAAGGAGGAGCGGTGGCCATAAGGTCAACCAGAGTGGCGATACCCCGCGCTCGCATGATGTATGTCTGAAGGGGTATGGGAGATGAAAGAAGGGGAAGGAGGGAGAAAGCAAATAGAGGAGTGAATGAATGAATGCGCACATGACTGGCCAATAAAGTAACGAGACGGGCAACGAATGCACACGTGTCTCAAAAACACCCTCACTACACGAGAAAGCAGATGGAGGAGTGAATGAATGAATGCGCACATGACTGGCCAATGAAGTAACAAGACGGGCAACGAATGCAGAAGCACCCCTCGCTTTACCCAACATGCTACAGGGTATTTTTGAGAATTCTCGAAAATACCCTACACCGCAGACAGCGTCCCTGCTACAGTGTATGCGGGGTGTGTGTCCCTACAGTTTCTTCTACTAAAGAGCCATTGGGGGGTGTGTGTGGGTGAAACTTCAAGCCAAATTAGACGACTTTTGAGACGTCTCAAAAGTCGTCTACAGTGTCTTCTACTAAAGAGCCATTGGGGGTGTGTCTAGTGTGGGTGAAACTTCAAGTCAAATTAGAACCACCGCAAATGACCCACCTTGTACTCATCAGCCACTGAAAGGTTCCAGAGCGCCCCTGCAGCAGCCCCACCCCCACTCGGGCCACTCTCCACACCCTCACCACCTTCCTTGAATCGACTCCATACACACGCACGCACCTTGTACTCGTCAGCCACTGATAGGTTCCAGAGTGCCCCTGCTGCAGACTCGGCGATACTGCCGTTGGAGCGAGCGAGGAGAGTCAACCTTTTGTGTCAAGTTGACACAGTCACCTCACGAGTCATTGCAATAACCCACGCACCTTGTATTCGTCAGCCACTGAGAGGTTCCAGAGCGCTCCTGCAGCAGACTCGGCGATACAGCCGTTGGAGTGAGTGAGGAGGGACAGCAGCACGCCCACTCCGCCCACCCTCACCACCTCCCTTGCCACATCCACGCCCACTGACAGATTCGCCAGGGCCTGAGGGGTCGGGCCGTGGGGAGGGAAAATGGTGGGGTGGAGGGATGGAAAGGGAAAGGGTGTTAGGATACCGTGAGATAGTTCTGAACAGCTTCCCCCAATCTCACCACCTCCCTTGCCACATCCGCGCCCACTGACAGATTCGCCAGGGCCTGAGGGGATTTTTAAGTCGACTTAAAAATCGACCCTTGCCACATCCGCGCTCACTGACAGATTCGCCAGGGCCTGGTGTGTGGGGCGGTGAAAGGAGAAAAGGGAGGTGCGGAATGGGTTTCAAGGGTGTTTAGTAACTGTCAGCATGTTTGTTCAGCCCTAATCACAACCTAACTGCCACATACAAGCCCAAGCCCTCCTCACACACCTTAGTCGCTTCGAACCGCGGCCCCTCAGGCCCGTGCCGGCCTGCCATGTGAACCAGCACCTCCACTCCGCCCCCTCGTATAAACGCACTCACCCGCCCACTGCTCCCCGCCTCCCCCACTCCCCCTCCCCCTCTCTCACCCATCACCATATCCCACCCATCCCCCTGTCGCGCTCCCCTTCCCCTTCCTTCCCCTCCTCCATCTCCTCCATCCACCCCTCCCCCTCCTCTCCACTCTCCCCCCATCCCACCGCCTCCCCCCACCATCCCTCCTGCTCCTCTCCCTCCCTGCCCCGCTCCCACCTCTCCCTCCTCCTCCTCCTCTTCTACCTCCACCTCCACTCCCTCCAACTGCTCCTCCTCGAATCCTGCCCCAATAGAGTCAGCGACCGCAAACACCCCCACTGTCGCTGCTGCTCTCTCCCGCACCTCCTGCTGCCGGCTCTGCAGCAGCAGCAGCACTGCCGGAACGCCCTGACTCACCCAGAAATCCTCCCTCGCCTCCCACCCTCTCCCTACCCCTCCTCCTCCTCCTGCTGCTGCTGCTTCTCCTCCTCCTTCCCCTCCCCCTCCCCCTCTCTCTCTCTCCCCCACCCCCCCTTCCCCACCTCTCACCCTTCCTCCTTCCCCATCCGCCCCTTGCCTTCCTCCTCTCGCCTCTCCTCCCCCCACAACACCTCCCTCTTCCCCCCGTCCCCTTCCCCCTCCCCTTCCCCCTCCCCCTCCCCCCCAGCCCCCCCACCCCATTGGCTCCAACCTCTCGGCCAATGAGTGCAGAGCTCGCACTAGAATCAGCTCCGTCCAATCAGAGAGCTCCACGCAGGCACTGCGGGGCCCACCGCCGCCCAGAGATCTGGTGATGTGGAGCACGAGTGCTCTGACGTGGCTCTCTTCCGAGGCAGCAGCGCTCTCTTCTGAACCAGCAGCGCCCTCTGTGGATGGGGCTGAGAACATGGGCGTGTGAGTGGTTTCCTCCTCACTCACTGCCGTGCTTGCTGCTGCTGCTGCAGTTTCTGTTGCGGCCGCAGCTGCTGCTGCTCTTCCTGCTCCTCTGCCTGCTGCTCCTGCTCCTCCTCCTCCTGCTGCTCCTCCCCCTGCTGTTGGTGCTGCTACTTGTGCTGCGTCCTCTTCATCTGCCGCTCCTCTTCCTCCCTGTATCCTTCTTCCCCGTCCTCCTCTTCTACCCCCAGAGGCACCCGGTGTAGCAGCAGCGGCGGCAGTGCTGGCTGCAGCAGCAGCAGCAGCAGCAGCGGTGGTGCCGGCTGTAGCAGCGGCGGTGGTTCCGGCAGCAGCAGCAGCAGTGGCGGCGGCGGCAGCAGCTGTAGCAGACCTGGTTTGCCGTCCAGTGGGAGTCTGACGCGTGGCTGTTGCTGGTGTTACTGCCGGCACTCCTCGTACTGCTACTGCTGGTGTTGCAGTAGCTGCTGCTGCTGGTGTGTCTACGGATGGACCTGTTGATGATGCCCCTGCAGTAGGAGTGGCCACCGTTGCTGCTGCAGTAGATGTGCTAGCATTTCTAGATCCGACATTCCCATTCCCAGGCTCAGCCCCAGGCTCGGCAGCTCCCGAGCCTGCCACTGGCTGTGCTGCTTGTCGCCGAGGCTGGTAGAAACTCCAGAGGCAGGAGGGGTCGCTGCAGGAAAGGGCAAGAGCGAGGAGAGCCAGGCGAAGATCGCCGTACCGGAATAGCAAAAGACAAGGCTTGCTAGGCATTTTGATGGCCTCGTGAAAGGTCTCCAGGACAGGACAGCTGAAAGCAGCAACGACGAGGATGGAGGGAGATGCTAGAATAAGGTTGACAGCTTCGGGAGAGATGTCCGAACGTGACACGTCCAAGGCTCGCAGGTTCGGCAGCTGAGCCACGTCCGAAGCTACCCGACGCCAGGACAAGTCCGAAGCTGCCCGATGCGAGGACACGTCCGAGCCTGACAGCGACAGGTACCGGACCTGCCGAAGCAGCGCCAAGCTTCCGCGATCCTCAAACCTGAGACAGTTAACGAGCGAGAGATTGTATAACCGCGGACAGTGGCTTGCCAGGGCTGCAAGGCACGACCGATCCACCCTCCTTAACCCGTTTAAATGGAGATCCTCTAAACGAGGACAGGACTCTGCCAGCACACAGATCGCGTCAGCGGACAGCCTCTCGCAATGGGAGAGCGACAGCTGGCGCAGGCGCGCGTGGCGGCCGAGGATGAGCCCGAGGGACGCGTCAGAAAGATCGGAGCAGGATTCGGCAAAGAGGTGCTGGAGGGACGAGCCTGGGGGAGAGGCGTGGCCCGAGCGTGGCAAAAAGCCCTGGGAAGAGCCCTCACAACAACCTCGCATGCCAGTTCCATTTGTGCCCCTCAATGGGATTCCTGTGACGGTGCTGCTGTTGTTGCTGCCACTGCCACCCGCCCTATCAAAACCATTGGCGCTGGCACCACCAGCAGGAGCAGCAGCAGCAGCAGGAGCAGCAGCAGCAGCAGCAGCAGCAGCAGCAGCAGCAGCAGCAGCAGGAGGAGGGGGAGAATAAGGAGGAGAAGGAGCCCCTGAATTAGCAGCCGCGCCACCAGCAGAGGCCCCGGCCCCTACCCCTACCCCAGCACGAGCACCCCCTGGAAACCCTTCCAAAACCAATCCACACCTGTCAACCCTCCCAAACCCAGCAGCAAGCCTGGCCACCGCTCGGAGCGACTCCGCCCCCTTCACATGCACGCGAGTGAGCGCCCCTGCGCACCTCACAGCCAGGGAATCCGCAGCAGCGGCGGAGAGAGGCGGGTAGCAGCGGAGGTCTAGGTTTGTCCAGAGGGAGGGCGCGAAGGAGAGGTGGCACCAGGAGGAGCACACGCAGGATGCTCGAGCAAGGTCGCGGAAGGCTAGGAGGGAGAAGATCCGCAGGGTGATTTCAGCTGGGAGGGAGGTCCAGTCGGGCGGGTGTGCTCGTGCTGGCTGCTGCTGGTGCTGCTGCTGTGCTGGTGGGTCGTTCAGTGTGGAGGGTGGTGCTTCTGTGGCTGGGTGCTGCTGGCTGGTGCTGGCCTGTTGTTGCTCTTTCTCCTTCTCCTTCTGCTTCTGCTTCTGCTTCCGCTGCTGCTGCTGCTGCTGCTGCTGCTGCTGGTGCTTCGGCCCTGCCTGCTCCTGCTCCTTCCCAGCCTCGCCTTCTTCCTCCTTCCGCTCCTCCTCTTGCTGACCCTGCCGCTGCTGCTGCTCCGTCCGCCCGTTATCCCGCTGCTGCCGCCGCCGCTGCTGCTGCTGCTGTTCCTGCTCCCCCTCCTCCTCTTCCCCTTCCTCCTCTTCCCCCTCCCCACCCTCCTCCTCATCGTCCACCAATTCCAACACCTCCTCACACCTCTCCACCAATTTAATCTCCTCTCCACCATTCTCTAGAAACCCTACCTCCTCGCGCATTCCCAGCTGACCTATCTTCTCAACCACCCCATCCACTCCCTGTCCTTCACTCCCCTCCTCTCCTCCTCTTTCTCTTTCTGTCATATCCATGGACCAAAACAAGGCGTCTCCTCCGCCTTCTCCGCCTGCCGCCTCAGCAATCCCCGCTTCCACCTCTGTCACCGCCGCCACTGCGTCTAGGCACGCGGAAACCGCGCTCACCCCGCGCGCGCGACCACCACGAACTCCGCCAGCGCGTGCGCCGGCGCCGGCGGAAGAGCCGCTTTGCTGCCGAGCTAGCGCGGACAAGGCATGGGCTTCCGCGGACAAGGGGGGAACTTCCGCCGGCGAGCGCGGAGCGCCTGCGGCGGAGGAACTCGGCGCGGATTCCGCGGTGAAGAGCGCGGACGCGGAAGAGGAGGCGGAGGAGGGACCGGGAGGCGGAGCTTCCGAGGAGAATTCGAGCAAGGGGGGAAGCGCGATCGAGTTCCGCAATCCTGCGCGATCAGCGGTGGTGTCAGCATCGGCTAAAGAGGGATGCTGAACGGCAACGTCGGAAAAAGTAGCAGAGGCAGTCGCCGGCGTCGCAGCAGGGGTCGCCGAAGGAGTCGCAGCGGAATTCGCTGAGGTCGCAGCGAGGGTCGCAGAAGGATTCGCACCAGCAGCGGTGGTCGCAGACACGAGCCTGGCGGCCCCGCCTGGCGTGTCCGCAGAAGCTAAACGACGCCCTGTCGTCCCTCGCGATCGGCCTCTCTGAATGACAGGTGTCACCTCCTCATTGGTTGCCGCTGCAGCGGTGCCTGAGATTTCCACGCCAGGCGTAGCGCTGGGTCCTCCCGTTCGTCGCCTAGTTCGTCTCGTCATGTCGCTGTCGTAACTACCTTCGCGAAAGAGCCTGGCGAAACAACGAAACTGGAGCGAAGGTCGCTACGGACCGGTTCAGGCAGATGAGAAGAACCATGCTGAGGAGTTGAAGAAACTCATGCTATCATTGTCGGAACAACCTCGCGGCACGAAACGTCAGAAGGGCCGAGCACACTGACAGGGACCGGAACCTCCCTCATTCTTCCAGGCGTGGAATAACTGTTGCTGAATGCGAAGCCGACTGCGAGCTAGGACGTCGCTGCGCTTCTGATCCTAAACCGATTTCTCCGCGTCAGCACGGAATGCGCAGGAGCATTTGTGGATGCAGGAGCAGTTCTCTCTGGTGTAGGCAGCCTAGTGAGATGAGGATGCCAGGAAACAAGAGCCTCATGGAGACGAATCAGAAATCTTAGTATAGTAAAAAGTAATAATAAAATGACTGTACTAGCATGAATTTTTATGCTGATAGACAATGGAATGGCATAGTCATGATTCATAAATCTACGGTAGAGGCACACAAATCATCACAGGTTTGGCTTCCATTATCCAACATAGAACAAGCAAGTTCATTTTCAATCCCCTGAAAAGGCTAACACTTCAAAATATTCGAGCTTAGTAGCAATTTCAACAATCTGATATAGGCGAATAATATGTTTTTTTTTTGGCTTCTCCATAAGCCCTCGCCAAAACATATATGATGTTATGTGATGTGATATGTGTTTGTGAAGGCTGGTTTGTTTGTATATTTTCATACAACATGGCAACCTGCAATCTCAAGAGAGGAATGAGTAACATGCTCGCTCACGTTTTCGCGAGACCCGTCGTCTGAACCATTGCACAGTGCTCGCTCTGGTTGGCGAACAGAACCTGCTTACGTGGACACGAGCTATCCTTATCTTTGGAACGGGAGCCCAGGATCATCCGTAACTCGATTTCGGACGCTATTCGTCCGTTGGATGCGATCCACATGTCGAATCGAGGGGTTCCAAAATCGCTGACAATTTGCCTCCAGAACCAAACATCGAGCTTGGGCACCTAGTGACTCGGGGACCCACATAGAGACCACCTTGGATCTTCCTCGGGAATTCAGCAGCTCTCCTCAATTCGCCGATCTCACCCAACTCAGCGCAATCTCTGGTTGTCATTCCCCTGAAGCAATGGCTGCCGCTGCTTCCATGGCTACCAGCGTTGCCCTGAAGAGCCTCAGCTCTTCCTTCTCCGGTGTGGCTGTTGCCGCTCCCCAGAAGGCTGTGGTTGCCAAGGCCGGTGCCTTCACCTGCCGTGCCCAGAAGTCCGAGGAGGAGGTTGTTGTGTCCCGCAGGAACGCTGTGACCCTCCTCGCTGGTGTCGCTGCTGCCCTCACCCTGAAGGCCGCCCCTGCTCAGGCTGCCTATGGCGAGGCTGGTACGTCTCGTAGCTCGGTTCCATCGTCGCCGACATTCCCGCTGTGTGAAAGAGCGTCGTCACAGATGCATGCGCTTGTGCCTTAGAAGATCTGCAGTAGGCTTAGAACGTTGACTCAGCTGTTCACCATCCTTCCTCCCTTGGCAGCCAACGTCTTCGGCAAGGGCCCCGGCAACACCGACTACATTCCCTACAAGGGCGCGGGTTTCTCCATCAACCTTCCCTCCAAGTGGAACCCCAGCAAGGAGGTCGGCGAGTTCGCCAACATCGTCCTGAGATATGAGGACAACTTCGATGCCCTCGCCAACGTTGTCGTCATTGCTGAGCCCACCGGCAAGGGTTCCATCACCGACTTCGGCTCGCCCGAGGAGTTCCTTGAGAAGGTATATTTCCTTTTCAAAAGTGCACATTTTCCATTCACAGCTGTTACTACGGTGCTTGCTGTTTTGGATTGCGCTCTAAAGTGCATTCTTACGTTTTTTTGTGTGTGTGCTGCAGTACAAGTACCTCCTTGGTGTCCAGGTCTTCTCCGGTGAGACCGCTGCTGAGGGTGGCTTCGAGAAGAACGCCGCTGTCACCGCTTCCGTGCTGGAGTCCTCGTCCGAGAAGGTTAACGGCAAGACCTACTACAAGCTGAACGTTCTTACCCGTACCGCTGACGGTGGTGAGGGTGGCAGGCACCAGCTGTTCACCGCTGCCGTGTCCAACGGCACGCTTTACATCTGCAAGGCTTCCTCCGGTGACAAGAGGTGGTTCAAGGGTGCCAAGAAGTTCGTCGAGGGCACTGTCGGCTCCTTCACTGTCGCTTAGATTGTGATATAATGTCAATTTTGCGATACAAAAACCAGTAATTCAGTCATTTTGCACATACTTCACCGACTTGGTCAACTACCTTGTAACTGGCAAGCATAGTCGAACAGCGTACATTGTAAATGCTGGCAAGTACGCTCGAACATCACATTACTTGGAAGAGGTTCAAACCGATGCTGGCAGAGTACACTCATAATGCAGTAACACAGCACATCCGCAGATACCGTACCAAGAAAAGCTCACATGCAGCTAGACCCTGCAGCAATGTAGAAACGATGTGTGAATATCAAGTTCTAACAGATTGACAGGGTGGTAATGCAGACGGCGAAGGGCCATACGATGGTGAAGGTGAAACCGCAGAGGATGGAGCAGGGGCCGGGCTTGGTGCAGGAACTGGGCTAGGAGCAGGAGCTGGACTTGGAACAGGAGCTGGGCTTGGGGCAGGAGCTGAAGCAGGTGTAGTTAATGGCCCCGTTGCGTTAACATGGAGCCTGAAGTGTAAAAATGAGTTGCCCGCTAAGCCTAGGAGGCCGGAACCTGCCTGAACAGCTTGAAGCACGTCCCTGCACACAATTATTCATGAAAACGGTTTTTACACAGATATAAACGTACAGTCCATACAGCTCAGCCATGCAGTTGATAACACACCTGATTCTGACAATAGGGTCTGAATCAGCCATCAGCAGAAGAGAAGTATTCTGCATGATAACAATCATGAAAAGAAGAGTGAGCACAAAATTAAATCCAGCAAACATTGTGGCTGCTGATAATAAGATGCAATGCACGTACAGTTGCAGATATCTGACCGGCGACATTTGTGATTTGATTACTGGGGATGTCCACGTTGACGTTCTTCAGGTCTACATCTTTTCCAAAATATTTCCCCGTAACTCGCCCAAACAAAACTGAAGCGTTTTGAGGAGTGAAGGTGAAGTTCCCTTCAGGGCTTGTCGTGAAATTCCCACCTGCTCAGAAAGCATTCTTCATGATACTGCACTTGAGGGAGCTGCGCGCTGGAAATGACAACAGCAGGGGTTTACCACCTACCAGATACGGTGAGATTGACATCTGTAGCAGTGAAGTTTGCAAGAGGAGCAGCGACGCCAGGCCCTATGAGTGCGATCTGGAGCTGAGGAGGTATGGTTGTAAAGCTACTGCGAACCCATGTCCACTCGACCTGCAAGCATGCCACGCGGAACCACGACACGTATCAACAATCTCAGCCTGATGCAACGAGCGAATCTGAAGGGAAAAGGACGTACCATGAAAACGTAAGCACGACTCTTACCTGCTGCGTCGACGGGGAGAGGGCGAGCTTGAGCGCGATTGGTCCTTTGAGCAGAAAGGACGGTGGGCCCACAACCAGTCGCAGGCCGGATGCGCCTCCAGTTTCCCAAGACGAATTCGAGGCTTCGGGAACAGCCTGGCGTCCGTGAAACGGGGAAACAGAAATGGCATGCTTTTTCCTATTAATTCTTGAACAACTGAAAGCCGACTCGGTTTGCACTGAAAAGGACTTTACCTGCAGCACGGTTCCCTGAGCCTCTTGTCCACTTGCGGAGTCAACTAGTGTGAAAACGAGCACCGTAAGGGAGACACAAGCAAGCAGTTTTCCGAACGAGACACTTTTGCAAACAGACACTCGTGACGCAGAGCAGGAAAACGAACTGGGGAGAGCCATTCTGGGGTTCCTGGTGGCGCAGAACGATGACCGCAACCGCGAGCGAGGGCTGGGCGAACGAACTAACGGGCAATGCACATCAGAGCGGCTAAATGAAAGTTCCGTGTGTTGAATCTGACCAATCTGAAGGAAGCATTTTGGGGAGCGCTGACTGCCAGCCGTCAACATCTGGTTATGACATAACCAGGCGATTGGGCTTCGCCCTCGTTGGGTCGCATGAAAATTCGCACAGCGGGAGGGTGACACGTAGGGGCTGGAACGGCTGGAAGGCAACTGGAAAATGAGATTCTTGACAGGAAAATGCGCCACAAGCATTGAACTGAACCAACGGAAATCATTACATTACATGTACCAAACAGTTATACTTTTCCAATAAATACCCCTCAACATAATTCACTCAACTGAACACATTCCTCTTGCTATGCAGCATGTTGCTGGTTGTCACGTGCACCATGGATTTGAGTATGCTGGCCTGCTATTTGTCCATAAGGTTGGTGATGCGCAAGCAAATGTTGCTGCATCAGCCGCTGCTGCCTCTGCTGCTGCTGCTGCCTCTGAGCAGTCGCAAGCAACATTGCACAAACCAACTTATGCCCAGCCTTCCAATCCAACGCCTGGCACGCTCTGCTGCAATACTTGGCCTCTCCGCACGCAGAGCAGCACCGAAACTCCTGCCGGCGTGTCTCCGACCGGCCACAGCGGGAATTAGAGCACAACCGGAGGCCTTCAGGGAGACCATAGATCTCACGCCAGTCTACAAGGAATTTATGAACAGCAGCGTGCCAGGAGAATGGGGGGAGGGTGACAGTGGGGAGGCAGCAGCAGCGGTAGCCAACCCCATACACTGCACAGGAGGGCAGCACAGCCGTGGGATTCACTGCATCTGGACCTGCAGGGCGTGCATGGCCTGTAGGGAGTCCAAGGCCTGTAGTGTGCATCTGCTGCTGCTGCTGCTGCTGCTGCACCTGCTGCTGCTGCTGCTGCTGGTAAACCAGTGCGGTTCGGTTATGGCGCAGCAGATGCTCTGCATTCTGGCCTTGAACCTGCATCCCGAGCGCCTGGCCAGCGCCAGCACCATCAGGTGTTGTTTCAGGTACAGCAACAGAAGGGCCTGCTTGGTCCGCAGGGATCTGGGGGAGGCTTGCTTCCACATGTGGAGCTGATTCTGTCGCTGTGACTGCTGGTGATTCTGGTACTGTTGCTGCTGCGGCTCCTGCTGAGGTTGCTGCTGCTGCTGCTGATGGTGCTGCTGCCATGGCTGCCCCTGGTTCTCTCCCCAGCACTGTAGCAATGGGCACAGAAGTGACTGCTGATACTGGTGCTAGTGTTGCTCGGTCTGCCACTACCGCTGATGGTGCTGCTGCTGCTGCCATGGCAGCGCCTGTTTCTCTTGCCAGCACCGTAGCAATGGGCACGGCAGTGACTGCCGAGGCCCGGAGCAAATCAGCAGCCTCGGCGGGGGAAACCAGAGAGCCATAGGCTCGGCGAGCCCGAGCCAAGCCGCGCAGGGCTTGGAGATCCAAACGAAGCCGGGATGTTCGGTGGGGAATCACGGGAGCTACAGACGAGAAGACAAATTGTTGGGTGGGTTGAATATAAGAGGTGACAGCTGGGGAGGGTTCAGTTTCAGAGGGCTGAATCTGGGAAGGCTGAAATGGTAAGTTTCCTACTGGGAAGGGCTGAACTGGGGAGGGGGAGGGCTGAACTGGGAAAGGCTGGGCTGGGGAAGGTGGTATACCCTGTTGATGCTGGGGTTGGTAGTGATAATGCTGTAGCTGTCCCCGGTACTGTTCTACAGGATGTTGCTGCCTAGAACCGAGGTCATTTATAAAGCGTATTGTTCCAGGACCTGCTGCTACTTCCCCTCGCCTGCTCCGCTCATTATCTGCTTCGGAACGAACCTGCCTGGTAAACTGGCTTTGCGGAGAAACAACCACCGCTGCTGCTGCTTCGGAATTCTCCCTTCCCCATGAAATTCCCACAGTTCCCGTGGTTTCACTCGTTCCAGACGCTAATCTTGCCACTGCTCCCCCTGCGACCGACCCCCCTAAGATTGACCCTCCTGCGATCCCTCCCCCTCCGACAGCTTCTGTTGCCTCTGATCGCCAAGGAGCACGTGTAGCAGGAACTGCATCAGCAGGCGGGGAGACTGTACCAACTGTAAGATCTGTAGCCAAACTGTCGGATGCAGGAGCAGGCGGGGAGATTGTAAGCTCTGTAGCCACTCTGCCGGCTGTAGCAGCTGTCGTCGCTGCTGCTGGTGCAGCAACGGCTGTAGCGGCTGCACCCGCGGCTGCAGAGGCTCCTGCACCTGCAGCCGTTGTTGTAGCAGCTGTAGCAGCTGTAGCGGCAGTAGCGGCTGTGTCGGCTGTGGCGCCTGTAGCAGCAGTAGCGGCTGTGGCGGCAGTGGCGGAAGCAACTGTAGCGGCCTCTCTCGTGTTCGCCTCGAGCAGCAGCCGCCGCCCCTCCGCCACGTTCCGCGGAACCCCGTACCCGTCCTGCAGGCAGTGCCCTAACTCCCGAAGCGCCTCCACGTGGCCTTGCGCCGCGGCCTTGGCGCACAGCAGCACGCCCGCGAGCAGGTCGCGGTCGAGGCGCGTGCCGCTGCTGCCGTTGAAGTGGATCACGGAGAGCGAGTGCAGCGCGTGCGCGTGCCCGCCGAGCGCGGCGCGCGCGAGCAGCGTCGCGCCGCCGCGGCGGTCCTCGAGGCAGTAGAATTGGATCTGTGGGGGGGATGGGGTGGACGGGGGGAAGGAGAGGAAGGAGGGAAAGAGGGGCGGGGGAAGTGTTGGAAGAGCAGCGAGGCAGTAGAGTTGGATCTGTGGGGACAAAGAGGGGGAGTGGGGAGAGGAAGGAGGGAAATGGGGGGAGCGTGAAAGTGGAATGAGGGGCGAGAGGGTGTGTGAGAGCGCGCGCAATGCGTATGTGGCGCGAGCGCAAGTGTGAGTGGTTAGCGCCGTGCGCACGCGAGGCTGGCGAGGCAAAGCGCCGCAGCCGCAAACACCCGCAGACGGTTCGGCAGAGATGCGACGCGGGCAGACGTAAGTCCATCGGGTGTTTTTATTCTCGATATGTTTATCCTCGTCACGTTGTTTGATCATTTTTCTGACGTAAGGCGTCACACATGAATTCTCCTCTCAAAGGTGACACAAGCTAAGCGAACGAAAATGCCGAGCGGCGAGCGGCGACGGACTGAGCGGCGAGCGCGACGGTGAGGACTGACCATGCCGAGCAAATTACGTTCGGGTGAACGACGATCGACTCGAGCGACATAAAAGAAGTTAGTAGAAGATGGGAACTGACCATGCCGAGCGAGTAGCACGCGTCCAGGTTGCCCGCCGAGGCGCACTGTTTGAGGAACCGATGCGCGCCGTCCGACCAGGACGGCGCCGACACCGCCATGGCCGCGGGCGACGCGCGTCTCAGCACGTGCGGCTCGGAGCCGAGCGCGCACACGCGGCGACACGTCAGCCACGCGTTGATCAGATCGGCGGGGGAGCGCGCTCGCGCCGCGAGATGCTGGAGAACGCACCTGACGAGCTCGTCCTGGGGGGACGGACACGCGGGAGGGGAGGGAAGGTAGGAAAGGGGAAGCGCAAGGGGAAATCAATTGACGCATCGACGCGCGTGAGGTGTGGCGCTCGACGCACGAACGCGGAGGTGCCGCGTGGGATTGCCGCGTGAATTTGCCGGCCTCGGCGCAGCTTCGGCGGAGTCCCGGCGGTCCATGACTCTCGATTGGGCTGTGACTTTTGATTCTTGTTCCGCGGGCGCAGCTCCGGCGCATCTTTGGCGCAGCTCCGGCGGAGTTCCGGCGGAGCCATGGCATGGCTCTCGAATGGGATGTGGCTTCTGAGCCGACAATGGGCCTTTTCGCCATGGGCGGGGAGTGAGGGGAAAAGGGTGGGAAATGCGGGGCTCCCGCTTTCAAAGTCACGATGCGGCGGTAGGAACTCCTCGCGTTTATGAGGAGGGATACTCCCCGAAGAAAGCGGCACAGGGGGGGGAACGAGGCGGAGGAGGCTGGTAGCAGCGCGAGGCGGGTGCGGGGCGATGCGGTTGCGCGACGCAGCGGGTGCCACCCGCAGTGGGGGGTGATGCGAAGCGCAATGCGACAAGCTTAGCAACAAAGCGTTGTAATAAGTTGTTTGTGATCGTAATCTTTTGCTTACGGGTAAGTCGTCGAAACGCGTTTTCGTTTGAGACGCGTCCGAGAACGTCATTCGCTTTCGCTTCGCCGCGTCGCTACTGATGAAGAGAGCCGCCACGTCGCATGATGGAGCCATGGCCGGCTTTCGACCGGACAACGGGAGAATGCGAAACGTTGTGCCGTCACACGCGCTGCGATATCTTCCTGAGTATGTCCTCATGCTACGAAGGGGCATTTTTTTAGGGAGTTCCCTGGCTAGTCTTGACGAAAGCACGAACCTAAGCAATGTCGGTAAGTTATCATAGCAAAAGGAAGAGGTGGTATAATATATCTAAACGGCTGGGAAAGACACTCTACGCTTTTCACTAGCCTCGTTTACAACCCCACGAGGAATTGGCTTGGCGGGCAAGAAGAATCCCATCTCGAAAGCCGTGCTGTCGCTGAGTAGGGTGCAAATGCGGAGGGGATGGCGACGGATTGCACTACGGTATCGAATGTTTTAGTTTGTTCAAACGCGGTCCAATAAGAATTCATAACTATTTACTGAGGTACGAGCGACATAGGCTCAGAGACACATGGACGTGAACTCTAATTGGTGGATGCGGAGTTATTGGACCTGCCCTTCCGCACCGCCCTCACAGCACAATTCGTGAGGGCACAGTACAGCACTATTTGTCTGAAAGGACAACACCAACAAGGCCCATCCAGCCCCCGGCAACAAGGAGAGGGGACCAGGGCTGTCGATTCAAGGGCATATGGCCTTAATGCCCTGAACATTAAGGTCTGACTTTGCCCCAAAGTCCAGATTCTCAGGGTTGATTTTTTGTACAGCCCGGAATGATAACGGGCGTGGGCTGGGCCTTCCCCTGATTCTTACAGGGGCCCCTTGGAGGGTTTCCCTGAATCCCCGCGGAAGTTTCCGGCCTTACCCGGAGACTTTTACAAGCCTTCCCACCCCCCCCCCCAACCCTCTCCCTTCCCGTTTTTCCCTTTCAAACCCATCCCATCCCATATTATCCCATTCTACCGTGAAAATGCTAGATTACGACGTGGGGTGGGCAGGTGTGTACCAGATCTTCGACGGGGAGAAGCACCCGAAACCTGCCACTTAGTTATTAGTGTTGAGAAGTAGTTAGGTAGATAGCAGTTCTAAATTAACTCTGCCTTTATTAGTTTTCGTTGTATACAGTTTGCCCTGATTGTTGTAGTGTAGCCCTGAATTTAAGTTTTTGGTCGGGTGCTTCTCCGGACGCTTAAAGGCTCGGAAAAGGACACTTCCCGGAGATTTCAGGGCTGAAATACGGGCACCTCAGACTCTCAAGTGTTGGCCTGGAACCAATCGACAGCCCTGGAGGGGACCATCCATCAGACAGGCTGTTTTTGTCCGACCATTTTTGGAATCGAAGTCGCCGACAGACCAGGACGCGGTTTGAGTTCCTGACTCCAAAAAGTTTTGCGATCCGAGCGAGGCTAAATTTAGAGCTGAGAATTCCGAGCCTCGTAAAGGAAATCCAAGAGCTCCACCACCATCTCCAGTTGTCAGTAGGAAACGCCACATTTTCCATCCCACCATACTCTATGTCACTCGATGTCCACGAGCAATGGAAGTTCAAGATAGGAGCGTGGACTTGCTCAAGAAGGAGTAGTAAGAAGTAGACATGGGATTTTGCAATTTCATCAAGATTACCACAAACAGTTGCTGCGGGTGCCCTTAAACGTTTGCATGTGAGCATTTTGCCAAAGCGACACAAGTTGCCGGACGCATGAGTGAAGCTCTTGTCAGAAGTTGGAAACACGACCCAGCGTTGAAGCTAGACTTGCATCCCTCATCATTACAAAGCGGTTACAAAGATGGTGGCTGTCCGAACATGACGATTGCTTCGAAATATGAAACGACTCCGAAAATTCGTAGATTGAAGTAGCATTTAATGTGGCTAGGTTGGTTGGGGGATGCTTTCCGCTGCTTCTCCCAGACACTTTATCGGGTTATGACTGTGCTATTCCAACTCCAATAAGCCAATAAAAGATCACGTACTATATTGAGTTTGGGTCTCAAGCATTTGCTGTTATCATAACTACAGCTAAGAATAGGCACTCTGGAATCCTATCAACAGATTTCCTTTTACTATGAAGGCACATGTTGTTCGCTCAGTTTCCCAGAAATCATCTGGTCCAAAGCTTTGGGTTTGAGAAGCCTCGGGTTTCCCAGAAATCAAATTGGACTTCTTATTCGCCAAATTACTGTTTGATAGCTCCTGTTCTTCTGCCCAATTCATAATAGGGCCGTTATCTAAATGTTCTATGTTGACGCAATATTAGTTGTTCCTCCTCACATAATTTATTACGTGTTACAAGTTGACGCCGTGGAACACCACCATCAGTGCGGGAACCGCCCTTCCCACAGACCCCGGCGGAATCACGTCCGCATCCTTGGGAATTTCGCCCGCCTTCCTGCGTCACGCGCCCCAGCTCTGTTACGAAACACCGCGCACCTGTTTCCCCACTTTCCCCAACCCTCCCCAGAACACGCGGAACTAATGGGCTGCTGAACTCCGCCAACCAAAAATCCCCTTCCCCCCGCTGTTCTCTCCCTATGAAATCCTAGCTTACCTCCACCCAACTCTCCTTTCTGCCGCTTCTCTCAGCCCCTTAGCTCAACTCGTTCCTTAGTCAACTATCCAACATGGTAGGCACGCTCGCGCTCTTTATGGCTGTTGTGTTTGCTTCAGATCCTCGCTCGGTGTAATTGGTTGCGATTCGTGACGGAACCGTATGTTAGGGTTTCTACTGGTCCAGATTTTGGTTTTCTAAATCCATCACGCCCCGTTGATTTCTGACGTTTTTGCGTGATCGGTCGCACGTGCCTTTTGAGTCAACTCAAAAGTCACATCATTCGGGTGTGTCATGTATGTCATGTATTATAAGGCGGAGCCCGAAAATATTTTGTCAAATACAACAACGGGTAACAGGTTTCTAACCCCTCTCTCGGCGTCTGTCCTCCCTATTCACGATTCATGTCGCTTCGTCGCGATTCCAGGCGGACACGGAGGAGGTGCAGCCGAAGAAGCGCACGTTCAAGAAGTTCACCTTCCGAGGCATCGACCTCGACGCGCTGCTCGACATGGGCAACGAGGAGCTCGTCAACCTCTTCACCGCGCGCGCTCGCAGACGGTACGTTTTTTTTCACGAGTGCTGGTAACCCTATTTCGTTCGCAAGGTTCTCGCGAGCCGCAGGAAGCTAGAGTCTGCATTATTGGCGACGTTTTCGGTGCTGAGCTGGAGTTTGAGACACGGAGCGTGCATTCGGCCATTTCGGCGATAATCTGAGCGAACATGATACCTGCCCCAGACAGCAGTCTCAAGCTCTTGTTTGCGAACGTTTGTTCGGCTTGGTTGACCGATCTGGTAACTAGTGTGGCGCGATGCAGTCTCGACCTGGATTTGAAAACCCGGGAGGAGCAAAGAAGGGACTCGGTTTTAGGAGAAACTCAGTGGGCAGAAGTGCGTTTTGCTGGCTCAGTGCAAGAGGCCGTTTTCTGACACAGGAGCAGTAGCGCGTAGCGGAGCCGATATCGGCACATATGTCCCGTAGCAGAAACCGGCCGATTGCTGGCTAATGCTGGCAAAGCTGTGCGAAGGCGGGCGAATACGAGCGAAAGCGAGCGACGGAGAGTGAGGGTGCACGTGTGGAGCGAGGATATACGAGGCAGGCGCATCCGCAGCAGGGCGGCAAGGAACAGAGGAACAGGGAAGCTGGGGGAGTAGGGGGCCTCGATCAGCCGCAAGCGGAGCAGGAATCAGAGGTCGAGTTTGCAGGTTGTTTAAATCCCAGAATTTGTGGGAAAGAGGAGGCTGACGCAGATGTGTCCAAAAGGAGTGCCTTGTTCCTTTCGTCGGCGGGAGTTGGCACCGAATGTAGAGACGGATTTGAGTTGAAACGGATGTTGGACGCAACGGGAGGACACGTTGGAGTAGTGCGGCGAGCCTAGCCTTTCGTGCGACTGGTATTGCAGTGGGTTTCTTGGTCGCGATGCGCTCATGGCAAGTGTTCTGTTTTCCATCCGCGCTTCTGCTTTCCACTATCCTCCCGCCCCCCCAACCCCCAGTCCCATTTCCCTTTTCAAGTCTTCCCCATTCCTCATGTCGATTTCGTTATAGTGCGCTGTTTATTCCCCGTCCTCATCCTGCCCCACGTTTCTCTCCCCCCCGTTTCCCCCTTCCCTCCCCACTTCCCTCCATTCCCCCCCCCTCTACGTTGCGCCCACTCCCCCGCCCCCTCCCGCCCACCCTCCGCTCCCCTCGTCCGCTCATTCTCCCCCGATGCAGGTTCCGCCGCGGTCTCAAGAGGAAGCCGCTCGCCCTCATGAAGAAGCTTCGCAAGGCGGTGCGTGCTCTCGATGGGCTGGGTAGGGAGGGGAAGAGCCGGGGGAAAGGGCAGTGGCGGGAGGCGGAGTTGTGGGTGGGGAGTGGATCGAGTGGGGTTTGTGGGAGGTGGAGAGTGATGGGAGTGCCATTAGGGGTGATAGTTAAAACAATTTGGGGCGCATGTGACAGGAAACGGCTAAGTGAGTTGGAGGTAGCAAGGAAGATAGGGAACCGTGCGTGATCACTTGAGCTGGTGGTCGGTGGGAAGGAGGTCAGCAGCGAGAAGTCTTGAAGCAGTTCTTATGTGTGCAAGGCCTATCAGAACGCATACTGTGTTTCCACTTAGCCATTGGCATCACTGACCACTCACACTCTTCTGCGCTTCCCCCACTTTCTCCCTCCCCCCCCCTTCTCCCCTCCCCGTACTTCTCGACTTCCTTTCCCCCATTTCATTTCGCGACTCCATTTGAGCAGAAGCGCGAGGCGGAGGAGGGCGAGAAGCCCGAGGCGGTGCGCACGCACCTGCGCGACATGATCATCGTGCCCGAGATGATCGGCAGCGTCATCGGCGTGTACAATGGACGTGTCTTTAACCACTCACACTTTTCCTCTTCCCCCCTTTCTCCCCCACCTTCTCCTGTCTGATATCCCCGCATCCCTCCCCTCCCCCCCGTGCGCGCTCTTCTTCCCCTGGCCCGCCACTCCCCCAACCCCCTTTTCGCGCCTCCGTTTGAGCAGAAGCGCGAGGCGGAGGAGGGTGAGAAGCCCGAGGCGGTGCGCACGCACCTGCGCGACATGATCATCGTGCCCGAGATGATCGGCATGTCTTGCTCAACCCCTCACACTTTCCCACCT